GATGCTTTTTCGTAGTCAATGAAGTTGATGCAGTGTGATGAATTCCATTCAACTGATTGTTCCTCAATGATCCGTATTGTTGCCACTCGGTCTGTCCTGTTGAGGGGAGGGTGATGCCTCTGGTTCGTACACTTGCTGAGATCTTTCTTTAGTATTTAGATTAGGTGTCTTTCTTTTCACTCTGTTATCCCTAATTTCTGTCAGAATGTAGTGGAAAATTTCAAATGAAGATTTGATTGACGTCGTCTTACTGACATTGTTAATGACTATGTGAGCTAGGTAGAAATGTGAGATTGAGGTATGGTTACGAGATATCATTGACAATTTCTGAGTTTTTGCTAAACTATCTTCACATACTAGACGACATCAAACATCAGAAATGTCGCCGAAATCAAGAAGCGGGCACAAAGGAATTAATTGGTTTACAATAGCTTACCAGAAAAGTGTTGGGTATATATTAAAAAGACAGTGATACTTTTCCTTGCTGGGTTAATTCTATTGTTTTGATCGTTAACTACTTATCAAGACTACTGTTTTCACTTTAATTGAATTTATTTCAGTTAAAGTTTTCGACTAGAGTATCGTTTCTGTGTCTAACTTAGTTTGTCGTCGGTACTTTTGAGTACTTTGTTTTCCGTTCTATTTGTTAGTACTTTTGGTTCTATCAATCTACAGTTTTCCACTTTTTTGGTTAGAAATCATTTTCTCCACTGAGTATTATCGCATCTAGTTCTTTTTTAAAAAACCTCTGTCTAATGACTGGACAGTGCAAAAAAAGTAATCGCCAACGTCCGGGCTGTCGTTGTCCCATTGAAAGCGGCATACAGTGCGATTAGTGCAAGGGCTGGTACAACGACGGTTGCACGGATTTAACGCCTGCGGCTTTCAAACGGTTCAGTAAAAACGGTTGTGAATGGCTTTGTCAAAAGTGCTGTTCTGATGCAAACAGCTTGCTAACCGAGGCCATCTTATTTGTAAATGCTGCAAAAAGTGTTTTGGCAAGCGTGGTTGGGACACATTGAACAGTATTTGCTCTGTCAACACGCAAATTGTTATGAAGCAAACGCAGATGAGTTCGAAAACAGGTGACTCACACCGACCAAAGGAAGAAAAACAGTCTTCAAAGAGGTCTGTCTTAACTAAAACCTCAAGAAAAGTTTCTTCTCCCTCACGTCTTCTAAATGGTATCGAACAGGAAACGCCTAGAAGCCGCAATCGAAAGGCTCGATCGGCTTCTAGCGGGAAACATAACCTGACCTCCCAAATCGTCGACAACTCTCCAAAATCCCACAGTATGTTTGGTGCAACTGTGGTTGCTTCTCCTAGCAACGTTGACGAATGGGTACAGGTTGTAAGGAAGAAAAAACAACGATATAAAAGAGAATCCTGCCCCCATAAAAGTAGTCAAGAAATCGAAGGCTGATCGCAGTGACAGATCCATTATTTTTCATAGAATCAGGGAGAGTGAAAGCTCTGAACCAAAAACTGGTTTTGAGCATGACATTGTGCTGATAGAACAACTACTTAATCATCTCATGCCTGAAAATATTCCCGGAGTCACCTTGCTAAAGGTATACAGACTAGGTAGTCTAGCGAACTTGAAGCCTAATCAATCCAAAATGCTTAAAGTAGTATTCAAATCTTCGAATGAACGCAACGTAATTTTACATAATGGACATAAATTAAAGGATTTAGGAGTTTTTGCCCGTAAGGATTTGCCATTGGCAGACCGTGTAAAAAGACGAAAAGCCGAAAAAGAACTACAACTTTGGTTATACGCTGGCGAAAAGGACCTAAAAATTCTAAATTCTCGGCTTGTAAGGCTTCGACAGAGAATGATGCCGAAACCACTATGGGTGAAGCACGAAGCCACTTAAATGGGCTCCGGATCCGTTACACTAATGCCCGAAGCTTACTCAATAAGCGATCGAAACTAGGTGTACAGATTGACTCTACACAGTCAGACAAAATCGCAATTACAGAAACCTGGCTGACACAGTCTATAGATAGTATGGAACTTGATTTCGAGGGTTTTACATTAGTAAGGGCCGACAGAATACAAAAGCGTAAAGGGGGGGGAGTAGCTCTATTCATTAGGAATGCTATCCCATTTGCAATTATCGACGGTGTGTCCGATGAGAGTGGGACGTGTTAGCTAGTTGCCGCTCGAAATGTAAGGGACATGGGCCACTGATTGGTTTGGTCTATCGCAGTCCAAGTTGTGAGGTAAATGAGGTCCTGCTAAGAAGTCTCAATACTTGGTCACAAAGTGGTCGATGCCTAATCCTAGGGGACTTTAATACACCTATGGTAGACTGGGAAAATTTGCGAACTGAATCGTCAGAAAATACCTTCGATGAGGGGCTAGTTGATGCGGCTACCACATGTAACCTAGTGCAACATGTGAAGGAAGCGACTACGTACGACCCGGAGACTGAATCATCCTTACTAGGTCTTATGTTGACTCATTATGAGGATGACGTTGAGAACCTCCATTACGTGCCACTCCTACGTAAAAGTGATCACGCAGTTTTGACTTTCGACTTCCATATAACTGTCAATCACGAGCACGCGTGAGCTCAATCCAGACCTAATGTCTGGAAAGCAAACATACCAGATATCACGCACTCAGCATCGTTAGTAGATTGGACAATAGACCCAGAGTCCTCAATTGAAACGGCTTGGTATGCACTTCGAAGTTTATGCTTATAAATTACCGCACCCTACATCCCTTGGACTATACCGAGGGCGCTGAGAAACTCTCTACCATGGTTCAGTAGGGAGATCCGCATCCTTCTCCGTAAGAGAAGAGAAAAAGTTGGATAGATTTAGGTTACTGGAGACTGATGAGACAAAATCACAATATCGAAAAGCTCGGAATACCTGTGCCCCGACCCACCGTAAGTCTAGAAGTCTGTACGAAGATTGTTAAGGAACCCATAGAATGTCCTAAACGCTTGTATTCTTATATAAACCAAAGAACAAAGAGAAGAGGAAATATTCCTGCTCTATGGGGAGACAGTACTGCCGCGTCACTAGTGGAGGACGACTTTGGTAAGGCTCAAGTGTTCTCAAACTGCTTTAGCAATGTATGCACCATAGAAGCACCCTTCCTGTCAGCGCATACAAGTCCTCCCACACATATGCTGGATAGCGAGACCATTAAAGAACACGGTGTCTTTGGTCTGCTAAATAGGCTTGACAGAGGTAAATCCACGGGGTTCGGTGAATTACATCCTAGGCTACTGAAGGAATTATCTAACTTCGTTGCAAGCCCTTTAAGTATATGCTTTAACCTATCCGTTACGCAGGGTCGTTTACCTAAAGACTGGAAAAACGTCATAGTAAGTCCTGTCTTCAAAACAGGTACGAAACACAAACCTGAGAACTACCGCCCCGTTAGCCTAACTAGTGTGGTTGTTAAAATCTTAGAAAAGATTATTCGGAAGGAGCTGTTTAAGTATCTCGATAAAAACCGGATCCTCTCGGAGAAGCAGCACGGCTTCAGAATAGGTTATTCTTGTCTCACTAACTTACTAGTCGCTCGTGAAAGCTGGTGCGCTCTTAAGGACCAAAAGTTACCTGTAGACGCAGCCTACATAGATTTCAGCAAAGCTTTTGACAAAGTTCCGCACAATCAGCTGTTATATAAGCTAAGAAATGTCGGAATTGGAGGCAATCTATTGATGTGGATAAAATACTTCCTAGTTGGGCACCAGCAAAGAGTACGGGTGAATTCAAAGTCATCTAGCTGGGAAGCCGTGCTTATTGGATTGCCCCAGGGAAGAGCTTTAGGGCCAGTGCTATTCCCCTTGTATATAAATGACCTTCCTCATCTCCTATCAACATCGGCCTTGCTATATGCTGACGATGTCAAGATATGGAGAACGATACGATGTAAAGGAGATAGCTTATAACTCGAAAATGACCTGAAGAAATTTTCTGAATAGTCTCAAACCTGGAAGTTGTCGATAGATACTTCCAAGTGTGTTGTGATGCATATCGGTCATCAAAGTACAGATTCATATACGATGAATAACACTGAGCTACCTGTCGTCCAGACACATAGTGACTTAGGAGTCATCGTTGGCCAAGAATTAAAGACTACTGCACACTGCCGTGCAATAGACACCAAAGGTTTTAGAACCCTATGGTCAATACGTAGGGGTTTTAGTCATGTCGACGCTAAAACGTTTCTGACTTTGTATACAGACTTTGTACGTCCCAAACTTGAGTACTGCATACAACCAGCTAACCCTGCTTAAAAAAGGCAGTGAGCTTCTGGAAAAGGTTCAGAGAACAGCAACTAAGCTTAGTCCCGGAATAGCGAAGCTTCCGTATGAAGTTCGACTGGCCAAGCTGAACCTTTTCCCGTTGTCATATCGTAGAACTAGAAGCGACTTGATTACAGTTTTCAAATTGCTTAGTGATAAATTTGCACCTGATATGCCCTCATCTTTCTGGTCTTCCAAAACAGAGAATTTACGAGGACACTCCAAAATAGTTCACAAGCCCAGAACAAATTACTTGTCAGGTGACTATCGATTTTCCCCTCGAACCCTCAACAAGTGGAATTCATTACCTCGGCACGTGGTTGAGGCTCCATCCATCGACGCTTTCAAAAGAAAGTCGGGTCAACCGAGAGACCACTATTACTAGGACTAACACAGGCCATCAGGCGTCCTGTCCTTTCCAAACTGAAACGGAATTGGATATTGAATTGTCCGGGTGTTTTAAGGTCTGGGACTGAAGCGCGTTTGGTTTCGTTTGAGTCCATTTTGGATCCACGTTTGTTCGGCGTTATTAAGTCTTTACTGTTATTGTGTTTGCGCTTGCCGACTTTAACGCTAAAACGTTTTGTTATTCTCTCTCCCAAATCATCAAGGAGGGTTTTTTGGATCTGTTTTCGCGTTTTCCATCGCTCATCAACAAATCGTGCTCAAGCCTACTGACGATTAGACGTTCCAGAATATTCATTGCCAGCCAAGATTAGCTTTGTGATGTTGAGGTTGCTCGCTGTGTTTGTGTCCACTGTCTTAACTGGCGTGTTTCCGGATGAACATAGTCATGTGGTGAGTTTCTTGGGTCATGAATTCTTGTGTATATTATTACCTTCCTTATCTAAATTCGTAGATCATACTTCAAGACTTCCGTTTTACTGGCCAACGGTCCTGTTGAAGGAAAGGAAAGAAACGTTACTGGTCAGTGTAGGTTTGTTCGACTTAGTCTTGTAAGCGCCCTTCATATATTTATAACCATTCAAGTTACTTTGGTGATCCTGTACGCTAGTGAAGGTTCAGTATTGTCCGTTTTTATGACTAACGGCCTGTATTGAGCCAAGCAGTCATTTTCAGAGTTGGCGAATAAATTGTATTTAAAGAACTAACGCCTGTCGAACTGTCTTCAGTAATAAGGATAGGAGGACTATCGACCTATATTAATCCTTGCAGTTTGTAACACTGTGGAGGTCAAATCTCGTTTTGAATATATTAACAGAAGGTACCTAATGACGAGTCATTTGATTGGGACTGTCCGTTGTAATCTACTAGGTGTTTGTTACCTATCTTGTTCTGAAGGGTTCTGCAGTCTTTTTACTGTGTTCAATCACAATTAAACTGGGGGAAAGTGATACTTTCGCATAACCAGGACACAAACAGACTCGGAACTATTACGTTCTCATTTCTTTGGACGAAAAATATGCAGATATTAGTCAGTATATAGTGATTGTTATTACACCACATTATATATTAAGGTCCCCACCATTCTTTGGGAAAATAGTGAAAACACAAAATGGTGGCGCTCAAGTTAACCCAGAATATAGTTCTCCCCTATAATTCCCCGAAAGTTTCCTTATACGTTTCCAAGGTCGGTCGTTTGACGGCATTCTAATACACTGAACAATCGACCACGCCATCACAGCCGTTGTCTTAATGTATACGCTAGTATTCGACAGTACACATTGTTAGCTGTCCTTTTTGAACTCTTGGGATGCAGTGATGTATAGAGACTACTGAACGTTTGCTGTTCGCGACTCTATTTCCCTTTTGCCTACATATACCATCAGTAAAGATTTGCTATACAGGGAAAGTGAACCAAGTTTAAAAATATCTCAATAACTTAATCTTTCACTGTGATATCTTGTTGATTGTATATCACTGTTTGCATGCAAAGTAAATATCAGCAAAGCTTTGTTCTTAACATATTCAACTTCGAACTTGAAATAAATGCTTTTCGACCCAAGATACCATCACACCAACGTATCGATACGCAACGAACAACGGGATAGTCAAAGCAACAGTCATATCATTGATAGCGAACAAGACTAGAATTTTATTATCACGAAACCTGATAAAGGAACAGATACTGTCCATGTGGCCGACTGAACTGTCTGCGTCAATGTAACTGCTTCGTTAGGCTGATATTACGACTATTATTCCAAAGTCCGCTTGTTACAGTAGATAAACTTAATTAGATGGACTGGCAGTGGGTCCAGATTTTATCTATAAGGTCCACGAAATGACCGTGAATTACTTTTGTATATATCTTAGGTGGTGTGGTTGGGTGTGGCCCAGATGTAGTCATCATTAATATCCCTTTAAGGTCAGGGTTTTAATAATATTTCATACTTTTCATTTATTATCTTTGTACTCTGTTTTGTATATTTTTTATGCTACTGATACTATTATGTCTATTCATGTTAAAATCTTTAGTTGGGATTATTAGAACAATGGGAATCTGAACATTTTTTCCTTTTTTTGTATTTGTTAGTTTTTTTGCATACGTAACTTGTTGAAATACCCTGTGCTGAGAATTCTATATTGTACCAAAATATAATACTGAATAAAGCCATTAATTAGTAAATAATAATAATAATGAAAATGTGTATAAGATCATTTGTTGATAGTGAATGACTGACTGTCGTGAATCACCGAGATGTCAGTTGCAGTTGATGGGGGGTAGCTACTTTATAAATGTTCACTCTTATCATAACTGTTGACTTTTGCTTGCATTTTCAACCTTAGTTTCCATGCAGTTAAACCAAATGCTAACTAAACCGTCTTCTTACTAAGGAATTTATCACAATTCAGACATGCCAAAGTAGGTGTTGGATTTTATTAATTGCTGCATTTTTGATGAGTCATTCTAATTGTATGACTTCATTTTTAGTATGATGTTGCAGAAGAAGTGGTTCTATGGATGAACACTATTGGACCATATCATAATCGTCAAGAAACTTACGGATACTTTACCTTGCCTTTTTGTCGTGGACCTAAAATTTCAATTGAACATACCCATGAAACTTTGGGTGAAGCTTTACAGGGGACAGAACTTCAATATAGCGGGATAGATATTCGATTTAAAAGTGGGTATATTTTTTTATAAACTCTTCTGAATTAGTTAACAAACCTAAATCAACGATGTGTGAAGTTGATGTCAATTCAGATGCTTACATAGCTTTTAGTAAAGCTGTTGAGCAACAATATTGGTATCAAATGTATTTGGATGATCTACCGATTTGGGCTGTTGTTGGGGAGGTAAGCAAAGACGGTCATCCTAGTATTTGGACTCATAAAGAACTGGAAATCGGATATAATGAGAATCAAATAGTTTTTGTCAATTTAATCAATGGTGACTTGACTCCTTTAAAACTGAACACCAAAATTACATTCTCGTATAAGGTAAGCTGTCTACTATTCCGTCTCAAATTTCTAAATATTACAATCTTCAGTATATTTACTTACAATTTAAAGTCTACGGTATTTAATAGAGTGAAACTTTATGACGTTGCACATTGTTTTTATTCCTGTCTGTCAACCGTCGTCCTATTAGTTGGTTATCTTCGAATATACAATATAAATCAAGGTAATTCAAATTATTATCAAGTACACCTTCGTATAAAATAAGTTAGAACGTTTATTTATCATCATGTCCACTCTTATTAAGGTTACGAACATTATTTAATTAAGTAACATTTAGCTAATAGTAGTATTTGATCAAAGAATATTCGTAACCTTCCTAATACTATTCAAGTGGATCCATTAACAAACAAGACCGGAGGTAACATCTGTTCCAAAGAAGTTGCTGTTCTTGGAGCTATAGTTCTAAATTGGTGTTACCGGCAAAGTAATAACATAAAGGTTAGGAAAAGTTGTTCAGAAAAGATTTATTATTCCCAATCGTCACGCAATGAGAATCGCCAATAACGATAAACTGTCTGAATTCGCTAAATTCATGTGTGTTTATGAATTAAACTGCTCCTGCTGAGCTAGTTATATAATCGTTTTGGTTAACCAAAAGACATTTAAGAGCATTTAGGTGTTTTATTCTCCCATACTTAGTGGACACAGTTCACCACATTGACCCGAATAAAGCTTTTACGGTCATCCACCATATTCCATCAGATTCACCGCATGGTTTGCGGACTCATCTTTTGTATATTGCTGATGCTATAGAAATTCACATTTAAAGACCCGACCTTCGTACTAAAAAGTATGTACAATTCCTCTCTCTATCTTGATTATCAATATGAAAGTGAGTTTTAGCTGAATTTCGATTCACTCCATTCATTCATGATAAGTCTGCTAATTGAACGCTAGGTCTAATTTCCTAGCTGTTTCCAATTTTTTCTGGTTGAATTCACTTGGCAAATTAAGCACAATAGAAAGCAGCGAAGTGCAAACCAAAGACTGGTGATAAGGATTTATTTGACTGCCAAAATAAATCAATGATTTATTGATTCACCACTTTTTATATGATTCATTTAATTACATTTAAAGTCAGATTTGTCTTAAGTGAGCTAGATTGTATTTAAAAATGATAATTCAGTAAGTTACTGTGTGAACACATATTTACCATGTTATGCAATTAGGCATCTACAATCCTGCTTGAGATGTAATTATATTTCACGTATAATTGGAAAAAAATCAATTTCATATATCATTCGCGCTCCAGCTGATTTTTCGCCACTTCTAAAAAATAGAAAATTTTATAATCTCTCACGTTTGTGTTTTCACATATTATCGATATCTGTTCGTTGATAAACGACTTTTTCAAAATACTTTGTTAATTGTTATTAAATATTATGTAATCTAGCGACCGTTCAATTTGATTTTTTCGATTTACGCAAACCATTGCATTATCAGAATTCTTTCAATTACTCAGTTAATCATTCAATATTTTTGTAATCACATTAAGATTATACAATTATGTGACATGACTACTCGACTAGTATTATATATATATATATATCATAAAGCCATGATGAGGCATTAATAAAAAAGGAATTTCTTCGATCTATTCGTCTTTTGATTGATTATCTAAATTGGAATTTGCACTATACTAAAGTATTTGTGTTCAGGCTTTTGTTAGGGAAACAAACCAAATATCATCTATAATATGATGATAAGCAATGGCTATGAGAAGCAATGGATCGAGCAGTGCAGCCACCCTACCCTTTCACTTCTGCGTGAGCATCAGCTAACTGTTATACGTCACGACATAGCTCCGTTCATATCAATTCATATAGATATTTATAGACGTGCGCTCGACTTAGAGGACAGATATTTAACAGGAGAAATATAAAGAAAACTAAAGAGTATTTTCAAAGCTGAACACCCCAATCATGCATCAGTCGACCCAGTCTATCAGCTATTAAGGAAAAGGCTAAATAACTCTAAAATAAAAGATTAGAATGGAGAAAAAGTCAGTCAGCTACAACGTAGGACCAGGCGCATATGTGCATCGGTCCAGGTTGCCATACCGCATCAGCACAACAAGATGAACACCGGATTCACAGCAGTGGTTAGGTCAAAGGTGGTAATATATAAGAGAAAGATTGCATATAGAGATATAGTACAAGAAGAAAGAATTGGTTCGTAGAAGGAAAGATATGAAGTGGTTTTAATCTCTTAGTTTAAGGGAAGACAGGGAGTTTATACACCGACGCCATTGTGATCGATTCTGAGCCATGTCACCAAGAGTCTCCAACCATTGGTTACGAAAGTCACGCGGACCCCAACCAAGTAGTCTGCATCTACCAACATGGCTTAGACTAGGAGTTAGTGTCTTCAAGCACTGATGCCACATTTTGGTTTGGCCGCCCCTAACTTTCTTCCAACCATCTCCAATACCGGATAGCATTGCACGTCGTGGTAGTCGGTGTTCAGGCATACGTAACACGTGGCCCAACCATCTCAGTCGATGAAGATTCATGACCTCATCAACTGATTTACCATCATTCCCTAATACCCTGCGTCTAACCTCACTATTACTTACCCGGTGATCCCAGCAGATGCCAGCAATATTTCTGAGGCATCTGTGGTCAAATACTAATAGCTTACGAGTGTCTTCTGCTCTTAATGGCCATGTTTCGCTACCGTAAAGTAAAACAGAACGGACTGCCGCGCAGTATACCCGTCCATTTATTGATAGACGGATATCTCGCCTTCGCCAAAGGTGATGCAAGTTGGCAAAAGCCAAGTGAGCTTTTCGAATCCGTGCTGAGATTTCGTCAGACACCAACCCACTAGGGCTGATCAGACTTCCAAGATAAGTGAAGTTGTCGACGCGTTCGACTACTTCACTCCCTATCCTTAGTTCAGGTGTTGACGCAGACCAGTCCTGAAGCAACAACTTGCATTTCGAGGGAGAGAAGCGCATTCCAAACATTCTGGCATTGTTGCTCAGTGCTACCAGAATACTGCATTTTGTCAGCGTCTTCACCAAACAGGACTATGTCATCTGCGTATTCTAAGTCGATAAGTGGACCTCCTGGATGGAGATCAATACCCGAGAACTCAGTCGACAAGAAAGTTATTTCCATCAGTAGATCTATGATGAAGTTGAACAAAAATAGAGAAAAAGGACAGCCTTGACGGACACCACTTGAGGTTGCAAAAGTAGATGACAGTTCGCCATAAGCTCGGACTCGACTAGTAGTGTTCGAGTAAAGAGCCTTCACAAGGTTTATGCACTTCTGTGGTACGCCTTTCAATGACAGACACTGCCACAGAATCTCGCGGTCTACCGAGTCAAATGCTGCTTTTAAGTCGAGAAAGACCACCATTGTCGAACGTCGATAAGTATGCCTGTGTTCTAGGATCTGACGAATGGTGAATATGTGGTCGATGCAGCCACGACCAGGTCTGAAGCCAGCTTGAGTCTCTCGTGTTTGCAGTTCACGAGTCTTAGGCGTCTGATAATTATCGAAGCTAGTATTTTAGATATTATATTAGTTAAACTAATCCCTCTGTGGTTGTCACGGGATGATTTTGACCCTTTCTTATATATTGAGACGATAAGTGATTGTGACCAGTTAGATGGGATAACGTCTAACTCCCAGATCCTAGCTAAAATATTAGTCAACCTAGTCGCTAAAATTGGACCACCATCCTTAAAGACCTCTGGAGCCAATCCATCTGGACCAGCTGCCCTTCCTCGTTTCAGATTAACTATTTATTTATTTATTTGGACACATGAATATTGGTACAAGAGAGCGCCAATATATATGCCTTTTGAACTTCAGCAAGAGTTAGGGGACCTACTTCAATGTTCCATTCACACTGTCTGGGAATGGAGGGTAGTTGTAGTAGCTGAAGGCCAGTTGAACTGTTCTCTGAAATATTCCGCCCATCGTTCTAAACGTCTGGACTGGGAGCAGATGAGAGTATCGTCTTTTTCCGATATAATCTCACTTACACTTGATTTATTAATTCCAGTTTTTATTAGTCTGTAAAGCTGTCTTGTGTTCCCTATAGTCGCCGCCTTTTCCATCTCTTTTGCTTTCATTGCCCACCACTGCTCACGGTCGTTTCTTAGACTTTTTCTTAACCTAGATCTGATTTGTTGTCGCTCTTCATCATGTTCGGAACCTGATGGGACGAGTTTGCGAGAATCCATCAGTGTGATAGACTTTGAAGAAATCTATTGGTTCTTTGTAACCCTTTGGTTTAAATCACTGATAGATGTCACTGCTGTTTGTATGGCTTTCCAAGCAACAACTGGGTCAACCTCGTTTTCAGAACTACCTAATCGTGACCTCAGTTGTTCCTGGAACCTACTTTTGGTTTCCTCGCTACTCAGTTCGGTTCTAATGGGTCTTTTTACTGTGGCTTTTTGCGTCCAGTGAGGCGCAAGCAGATTCGTGCCCGTATTAGGGCGTGGTCGGAGTCCAAGCAGGTACTCCAGAATGAGCGACAATCTTCTACCGACCCTCTCCAACGATGACTGATGGGAATATAGTCTATTTGAGTCCATCGTTGGTTTGGTGTAGGGGGTCGCCATGTTAGACGATGTCTCTCCTTATGCCTAAAATTTGTGTTTGCTAAAAATAAACGATTGTCTGAGCACAGTTGCAGCAGACGGTCACCATTATCTGTTCGCTGTGCTGGAATGCTAAAATATCCACCTAAATGCCTTTCTGTTTGGTTTAAGCTACCTATCTGAGCATTAAAGTCACCCCCTATGAGTACTATGTCTGAGCGTTTAACTTTCTGAAGAAGTTCAGAAAGCTTTCTGTAAAATTCATCTTTCACTTTATTCGAGCTGCAGTCAGTGGGAGCGTAGGCAGAAACGACGAAAAGGCAACGACGTGTATCCCTATCCTTCCGAGTTCTTACGGAGCCGCTTAGCCGAACAGCACATAGATGACTGTTGATAGGGATCCACTCTAGCAGTGCTTGTTCCGCCCTCATGCTTAGTGCTATGCCCACACCTGCCAGTTCACGAGAACTGGCCATCGGGTCACCAGATACACGGAGGGTGTATCTCGTTGGCTCTACGTTTTGCCGAGGTGAGGTCAAGTGAATGACCACATTGGAATCCTGTATGCGTGTTTCAGAGACACAGCATACATCAATGGAAAGAGACTAGGGTTTTAGCCAAGGAAGCCTGCTGACCGATTTGACATAGAGTGCGTACGTTGAAGGCTCCAATGTGTAGTTTGGAGCGAGGTTTCAGTAGACCTGGGACAGGGTTTTGAGCACTAGAATCGTTGGCTATGGTGACACTTGAGGAGGAAGCCGAAAGAGGAAGTTTAGCGTTGAAAGTCGATGTAGGAGGAATAAAAGGAATTGAAGAGGAAGGTTGATTATGAATACAGTGGTCTCGAGTGCTGTTAGAGGTATGAGGGCGGTTATCGCTTCCCGGTTGCCCACACCGAGGAAGGGTTCTTCTGGAGGTACCTGAAAAGGAAATTGGATTAGAGGTGGTCTTAGTGACCTGAGAGCGTGACCGCAGTGCCCAAGGGACAACTGCTTGAGGCCGGTCGCGCACGGCCTTTTCGTGGGAGGTTTTTGACGTGTTAGCTCCGTTCTTCAAAGGGCCTTACCGCCGGAGACGGAAATCCGTGAGGTAAGTTGAGGTGTGCATTTCTAGGGCCGACCTTTTCTAACCCCACCTCTCCTTGTGGGAAGGCAGCATCGCTGTCATGCTGGTTGTCTGAAGGAAACACCTTACTGCTGTCACACCTCTGTACAGTCAGCAGTATGACTTCGCCTTCGGACCTTGGGTTTGTTGCTTTTAGTCTTACCGCTCTTCAACCGACCTGTCTGACATGGTAGGACCTTGAGGAACGATTGTTCCAGCCAGTATGGCTCGGTTGCTTCATCACGATAGGCAAGCCCGACCACCACGTCAAGGTAGCAACAACGGTCGGGATGGAGGAAAAGGCAATCAAAATAAATGTCTTAACAATAACCGTCCATATTACATAAATATCTCCAAGTAGATAAGTAATCTCGTAACTGAACCGTGCATTAAAAATGTTTGACATCTCTGAAATAAACGTTCATTGGTTCAATTTTGATTTTCCTATGGTTATACGAATATATGACATGATATTTAAGTATTAGTAAATAACTGTGAATCTGTTAATTGATTTTCGGTGCTGACGTATAAGTTATTTAATCAAATTCAATGTTTTTCCTACATTCAAAAAAGGTTAGATGGGTTCCATCAGAGATAGACTTTGCTGATCGATTTGATAAGTATTTGGATTACGAATTCTTTGGACACAAGGTAAGAAGGTATTAGATTACTCTTTATGATGAAGTATTGGTATTTTAACCTAAGGTAGATCTGTCTAAACTTGGTCGATACTATTATCATTATTTAGTGGCTGAGAAATTGATATTACACAAATTTATGTGTACAAGTTAATAAATTAGTTTGCTTATAAACATTCCACACATATTTTCTATTAGGCTGGATAATAAAATGTAGTTTTAAATACCTTTGTCGCATATCCGTAGTCATTATTTAATCACCCATTGTAAATACACCAGTAAATCGAATCCCTCAGTTTGAGGCTGAAAATTTCTCTTTCTCTAACAAGCTATGAAATAATTTGAAACCCACTATCGTTTATAATTACAATGGGATTGTTAACTAATTCCTCACTGAATATGCATACAGTCAAAAAAGATAGTTGAAGCCATCTACGGTGTTGAAAGACTCCAGCGACTGGTATATTCGTTAGCGTTTCATGGCAGAAATGTTACCGTTTTTTGAGCGGTTTGTTCGTTTAGCAAAGGAGCTTTCCTATTTAGTTGACACAGTTTATTTATAGCAGAGTTTATGCTCACTGTTAGTCTGTTTCGTATGTTTATTCGAAGAAATTAATGAGTATAAAACTGACTATCACTTAACTTGATTCATTTTTTTATCCATTAGTTTTGTCTAAAAGGTAGCAGTGTGAATAATCTGTGAAGAAGGATTATTCGTATTCGTTTGTTGCTTCCATGATCTTTTGCGCGTCTTTCTACCCTTTCAACAAGTACTTACTATTTCATATGATTGGACAGCTTCTTTAAGTTTATGGGATTGCTCATACAACTGTATACTGACCCAACTAAATTCATCGTCCTGTTAATAAGTCGTTCAGTAGATTTCCCTAGTTAAAATCATGAGGCCACATTCTATCAATTTAATCCTGCTTGCATTTCGTAGCGAATTACAGTAGTAATAGGTTTGGTTTGTTGCGATTTCGATAATCTTGTATCTTCCTGACAGATATTGTTCTTTAAGCGATGCATACCGCTTGACTTCATTATAGTTAATACTTAATCATTTTACCTATTAAACTACCAACAATAGTTTAATATTTCGTTTACAAACGCATTATTGACTGTAATCCCCAAAAGAAAAACACGGGGTTATACATTTTTCTTATTTGTCAGACCTGTAATGTTTATTCGCATTTTACTGTAATGCTAACAATAGATTTCAGTATGGGGTTGTAAAGATTGTTGAACTTTTTTAAAATCACGAACCAATGTAAGTTAGACCATCACTGAAAAAGTAGAAGCACATCCCAATAACTCTTTTATCATCACGACTAATCATTCTTATGTCTCTTTATCATCTCGCACCGCTAGTGCAAACGATTCGAGTACATGGAACGTTATTCCCGGTCTCCTGAAACCACTCTCTAAAATACATGTAGGAGCTTTGAACATCCGAACACTGGGCCAAATAGGATAACAGGCTTCCTTAGCTAGGACTTTGGAATCTCGCGCCATCGATGTGTGCTACATCTCCGAAACGCGCATACAGGATCCGAGTAGCGCCATTCATTTGACCTCACTATATCAAAATAAAGAACCAACTCGATTCACGCTTCGTGTACCTGGAAGCCCAGATGCTGCTTCCCGTAGCCTCGCCAATGTAGGTATAGCATTGAGTTATAAGGTAGAACTTGCTCTCCTAGACTGGATCTCAGTAGACAGTCGTTTGTGCGCTGTCCGACTAAATGGAACAGCAAGGACTCGGAAAGATAGGGACACAGGTTGTTGCCTCTTCGTCGTCTCTGCCTACTCTCCTACTGACTGCAGCTCACATGATGTGAAAGACGAATATTACAGAAAGCTTTCCGACCTTCACCGAAAAGCTAGGCGCTCTGATATAGTAATAATGGCTGGTGACTTTAATGCTCAAGTAGATAAACTAAGCGAAAAGGAAGGATACTTGGGCGGATCTTATGGTGTCGTGGCTCAAAGAACAGATAATGGCGATCGTCTGTTCCAGCTATGCTCAGATAACTGTCTGTTTCTAGCAAATACTAACTTTACGCATAAAGAAAAAACATCTTGTGACATGGCGATCCGTGGAATCTTCCTAACGTTGGACCAAATAGATCACATTGCTATCAGCCACCGATGGAGGGGCTCGATAGAAGACTGTCACTCAACCTGGAGCACATGCCTAGATTCAGCTCATGCTCTAGCGCGAGCGCGTATTTGTCTGCACCTTACTGGACGTAGAAAAGACTCTGCAAGGAAACCTCTTAGGGTTCTACTTAATGATAGCCAAGCTAAGAATATTTTTCAGGAACAACTAGAAAACCAGTTAGACAGCCACGTAAGTGATGCCCACCCCGAGGCAGCGTGGAATGATATCCGAAAAGCTGTGAAAACAACAGTGACATCTGCTAGTAAGGTCAACCATAAGGTTAGCGAGAAACACTGGATCGCAGCAGCATCTACCGCACTGACAGATGCTCGAAAACTCATGCCATCTGGCTCTGAACATAACGAAGAGCGGAGTCAGCTTAAGCGCAGGCTGATAAGTAGCCTAAGCAATGATCGCGAACAGTGGTAGGTAGCGAAAGCAAGAGAGATGGAAAAGGCAGCGGCAGACAACTGTTCAGACTTGAAAAGAAAACCGGTATTATGAATCCAACTGCTAGTGAAACTATCTCCGAAAACGATGGACATATTGTTCACTCTCAATCCATGAGATTGGATCGATGTGCAGAACACTTTAGGGATCAGTTCAACAGGCCTTCAATCACACTTCCGTATCCCACGATCTCCAGTCGACCTGAATGGCAAGTTGATGTAAGTCCTTCAACTCTTTACAAAGTTAAAAAAGCTATAGGAAATCTGAAGTGTGGGAGAGCAGCAGGCCCTGACAGGTTTGCCCCTGAGATTTTCAAGGATAGCGGTCCAGTATTAGCAGCGAGATTGAATGAGGTCTTAGATAGAATCTGGGGACTGGACGTAATCCCATCTGACTGCTCTCAATCTCTGATTGTGCCAGTCCATGAGAAAGGGCAAAAGTCCCCTTATGATAATCACAGAGGAATCAGTTTGACTAGTATAGTGTCTAAAATATTAGCTTCAATAATACTTTGACGCCTAACTAAAGCTTGTGAAGAGCAGACTAGAGAAAACTAGGCTGGTTTTCGACCTGGACGTGGTCGTATAGACCAGATATTCATACTACATCAGGTCCTAGAACATAGACACACATTCATACGTCCCACAATCGTAGTATTTCTCGATGTTAAGGTGGCATTTGACTCTGCTGATCGTGAGGTTCTATGTCAGTGTTTTTCACTGAAAGGAGTACCAAAGAAGTACATTAACCTTATAATGGCTCTCTACTTGAACACAACTGGTCGAGTAAGAGCTTATGGCGAACTGTCATCATAATTGATTACCTCAAGTAAGTGATGTTCGTCAGGGTTGTCTACTCTCTCCATTCTTGTTTAACTTTATCGTTGACGTGCTTTTAGAGATAACACTTTCCTCATTTAAATTTCCAGAGGTTGAACTTTTACCGGGAGATTCACTTGTTGACTTAGAATATGCCGATGACATAGTTCTATTTAGTGAAGACGCTGACAAAATGCAGAGTCCTCAAAACAAAGGAAGAGATCACAATGGATGTCGTTCGATGTTACCCACCTACCAACGATAGCAGTGGAGAAGATTAAAATTAATTTGATAGGGGGGTTTCAGTCCATAGTAAACAAATGTTCAGGAAAACACCTGACCATCCTGATGGGGAACTTAAACTTCGAGGTTGGTATGTACAATACCGGGTATAAAATATCATGGGATGACATGGACTGGGAGAAAAGGCGGGAATGGTGCAAGAATGATAAATCTACATGTTTTAAACAAATTGGCTATATGTGGTAGCATTTTTACTCACAAAAGTTATATGGGTTTCCACCGACTACGCTATAGAAAACCAGATCGATCGCATCTGCATCAGCAGGCAATTCAGAAAATCTGTGTGAAACATAAGGACAAAGAGAGGAACTAACACAACTGCAGACCACCACCTGATCGTGACAATACAAAAACTAAGGCTAGAGAAGAACCGGAAAAGTAGACGAACAGAACTACAAAATTTCGACACAACCTTCATTTGAAATGTTGACAAACTCAGCGACTTCAATATAGCTCTCAAAATTAAGTTCTAAACATATAGAGAACCTTATACATACAGATACCTAGGTAAATCTAAACAGAAAAAACAACAAAAACGAAAATAATTCTTTCCATTTCACGGTTTCTCATCAACTGCGTACAACCTAGAATTATAACTATCTACATTATTAACAAAGCTTAAACAAACTTTAGTTTTTGAAGTTTATATAAATGTTCGAAAGGTTACTAAAATCATAATGATAAAAAGAACACGGATACGAAAAACTGGAGGATGTGCCACGAAGAAGCCAATAAATTGTATCAACAATTAGTTTTCACTTTGAATTTACAATATCCAAAAACAACCTTTGCGACTGTATTACCGTTGATAACCTGTCAAGAACAAGCATTGCCAGTGGCGTATACAGGTTACAGCAGCTACTTAGACATCCATTACTTGCTCTGAACAAACGTATGTATATATGTATTTCTATCATGTTTAAGTTACATGGAACCAGAGAACAACAAACACGAATGAGAGCTTCGTGTACAAAAGAACTTCCGTCGCTCGCACTTAAACTATCGCTCTGTGGAGCCGAAGTCACATACCTAGACAATAGACCATATTCACCAAGAAGCAACCTACTAGTCATATTCTCAAAAAAAATAATTGATTTCGACGGTCGACTTACTTTGACTCGTTTATTTTGGAAAATATTAGTCGAGTGCTGGGGACAGCTCGTTGCTATCACATCGCAATAGACTTGAAATATGACCTTAGATATATTACCTTTGATTTTACCGTTCTTTATTAGACCTCCCCATCATAAAAGGGCATCGAAGAAAAAGTATTCGAGCTAATATGGTTCAAATGAGTCATCGCAATAGACCACCATAATCACGCAGACCTTAACTCGTTAGTATGCACCTAACTACACAGCTCATTCCTTTAGTCGCGGTTGTCATGGTCTGATCCTATTTCTTGGCTTAGTCACCGTTAGCTTTTTCTAGCCTACTTCTATACCAATCATCATCTTGCGTCATGGTAGTCGGTGAATGGTTGTAAATATTTTGTATCCTACCCATCCCAGTCGACAAAGATCCACTACCTCATCAACGGATTCGCCATCCTTACCTAATACTGTGTCAAACTTCAGAATTGCTAACCCGATGGTCCCAAAATACATGAGCAGTTGTTCAGAGACACTTATTGTCGAGTACTAGTAACTTATAAATATCACATTTCACAGCCAGGATTTCGAACAAAGTGTTAGGTAGTCGGAAAAATAGACCAATAATTATCATGTTAAGTCCAATGGTGTCCTTGGACCTTAAATGTACATTTTCTATTGGTCGATGTTTACTTCACTTGTTAAATATTTTGTAAATGTTGTTCTCCATTTTATGGTACGATGTGGTATGCTTGATTGGTATATAAACAAAGTATGTTTGAAATATAATGATTCATAACCCAGAGGCTGTGACTTGCGTTCTTGACTCAACTGGCTAGGACAGACAGCGAAGCAGGGCCAATCAGGGCACTAGGTCGTCCTTACGTGTTTTCCGTGTCACTGTCACAGAAGCGATCGATAATAACGCTGCGTATCAAACCCTGCAGTCACACCCGTTACAACAAACTGCTACCCTGTTAACTCGTTATCTGGTTGGTAGATGAATATCTCACCTACACCATAAGTGACGCAAGTTGGAAAAATCCTAACTGACCTTCCCTATTTGTACTGAGATTTCATCAGATACCACCCTACCAGAGCTGATGAGAAATCTGTCAGCATTTTGAAGGTTCTATGTACAAATACATCAGGTAGAACGAGGATATACAACCACCTTTTCTAACACTTATTCGGTAGTGGAAAGGCAGCATTACTAGAAAAGCTGGTTGACTGAATGAAACACTTTACTACACTACAGCCTAGTACAATAGGCGATACAGCTTAGTTCATGAACTTAATGTTTTCTGCTTCTGATAATACCACCTTCAAAATGACTTTCCTGGTATGGTTTAGCATCAAGCAACAAACATTCTAGCCCATATAGCCTGTATCCACATAACAAACGTAAATTTCTACATATATAAATTATACTCAATTAGCTCAATGATCGGAAATCTTGGTAGTTGGAACCTGCTGTCGACTTCGAAACATCTGCATCTAGTAACTTCTGGAATAAAAACCAATGGTGACCGCGCTGTAACTTTATTTCACTTTACTTCATGAATAAAATTTATTTGCTTAAAAGTATTGTTGTACTTTTTCAACCGAACTATTTCTCCCACTGTATATTAAGCTCATGCACTTATTTTTTTCATTTAATTATTTTTTAAGTATATTCACCCTTTTCATATCTCTTCATAACTTCATCCATTTATTTGTGTGGTGTATATTTATTTTGATATCCATTTGTGCCAATATTTATACCTTCAAATAGATAACCCTCCAAATACCCAGTGTTTCAAAGCAATGTGAATGGGAAATTCACACAAGTTTCCTAAATTTTATTTAAGTTGTAAAGGTCGTATTTTTCTTGTCCGAAATCTCAATCCCGAATGACATATAAGCAGTGTCTCAATCGAGCACGTTAACCAGCCAAATGTAAATATTTATACGTCTCTTCTAATCAATACAGCAAACGAACAAGTTAAATAATTTCGGTTTCCGGAGTTGTGATGGCATCTTATTGTCGTCTCAGGTGTGTATGTTTGCCAACATTTTCGAAAGTGGAACGAGGGAGTCTAAACTTTTTTTCGATATACGTCTGTATGTTGTTCGTCTTAATGGAAGTAATATTTTCCCATAGAGATATTCCAAGCACTATTTTTACGTGTAGTGCTATGGTCAGGCGAAGAGTTCTAAGCATTTATTCAACGTAATATTTTACCTTTTTAATATCACAAGGAGTTCGTTTCATCGTTAATATACCTCATAAATTAGAAGGCCGATTCGTAAGTTCACATTGTCTGTTAGATAGACACAATTAGTAATTACATTTTTATTCGCGATTACTTTTTCTTAATTATTCAAACCGATTCATTATCTCGTGTAAATTCTAGAAGATTAGTCACTTCCAAAAGTTTACTGCTTTGATCGATATTTTTGTTGTTCTTTGTTCGTGTTCTTGTCATAGATTCATTGGTTTTCAATCTTTAATTCATTTATGATGGTATTGTTCCTTGTCGCATTGGTCTGCATGATTTTAATGCGAACATTACGGCGTGATTATGCAAGATATAATAAAGAAGATGGTCTAAGCGATTTGGTAAGTCTCCCAGTACTTTTATGCTTAGTGTAATTGTAGCAAAACAATTGAAATACTGTTGTTTATTCTCTCAATTTTACGTTACACAGAGCTCACAGGTCTTGTAAGGCTTTTTGGTTTCTGACTTTTCCAAATAAGGGGTTCGTTTTGCTTCTAGTACTTACACGTTCGTTTGTGTAGTTTTATATGTATCTGGGACCTTACATTAAGAGTATTAGTTCATTCGATGATTTACTACGGGTAGTCAGGGTTAAAGAACTGTCAGTTTTTTAATCCGTATCTGAATTTTTTCAATGTATATCGATTAGTGTCAAGTACAGTTTCATCCATTTTTCTGACAACTATATGTGTATTTTGAGGCTTCGTTATCTTCTGTTGGGTTCATATTTGTATCTTATTAATTGAAAGTCGATGGCAGTTTGATATTCCTCATAAGTACCTACATTCGACTAATTAAACGACTAAACCAAGAATCCAGTTTCCATTGAGATTTGACAGTCGTCTTGCAGATTCACCAATAACATAGGAAGTTAGATTCTCTTTTCACAGTAGCCGAATAGTTCGATCATTCAGTTTGCTTGGTATCTTGTTACATGAACTTGAGTCTTGAACAAAAAATAGTATTTCAGTGGCCCGGGATCTGACTCCAGGTTGATCGGACATTTATTTATATTTTATTTATTTTAAAACATAGATATTGGTACAAGGAGGCACCAAATACATATGCGCCACACAAATCTCACTTGATATGTGTGAGGGCTGTGATACTGCCCGGGTGCCCAAACCGAAGCAGGTGGTTTTCTTAGGAGGCCACACCCAAGCCTTCGACCTGAAGGTCTGATCCACAAGGCAGTGGAGCATCGTAAGGAGATGCATTCCCATGGTGGCCGGTGACCAACGATTGGTTCATACGCCACTTGTTACTTCAGGATACTGGAGCCCATGTGCACCATTGGTTTGGGATCAGGGTTTTCCAACTCCCCCAGGTGGACTCCATGTTCACCAACCCGATTAAGGCCCCGGACATTCGCTTTTCGTCCTCTCGATTTCGTAAACAACACCCGCGCCACGAGAAGGAAGTGAGTAGGACTTCCCTGGCAGAGGCTATACACGCTTGTCCATGTGAGAGCATTTCGAGAGGGAGAGCGGACTCGCCCCACTCTCGGCCGTACCAGGGCATTTGGGGGCTAGATCTGACAAGTGATCGTTATTGAATGATTGCTGTCGAAATATACATCATGGTTATTCTCGTTTATTGTTATTGACTTACTCCGCGTTAGTGTATAACGGAATTAAAATAAGCCGAGTACGAGAATGGATTTTTGAATGCGTGTATTTTGTACACTTGTTGATTTAAACAGATAATTAGAGGAGTGAAGCGAAAAGAAGAGAGCGAAGCGAAATGACGCGCAGTGGAGATGGCGTGCGAGCCAACTCGATTTAATCAAGCGTTAATCAATATTTATAGTCACACAAAAATAAGCTACAAACATGTGATGAATGATGATAAGACATACACACACACAAGCTCATATAAAAACAGTTAGTGTTGATAAGTGAATAACTAACAAGGTCAAGACGTGGCCCAAGAAGAATGAATAGACCGGCCTGTCCAGAATCTAGAGTAAAATGTGTGGGCTTAACATATCAACGGACACTGCAGCATGATACACATAGACAACTAGGCGTCCATGTTTCAAGCTCCAGTAAATTAGTTATTTATCTGAGAGGCGAATTACTTCCGGTTTTACTCGTTGCATTGACCTAAATGATCGTATGTAAGAGAAAATTAGTAAAGTTAGAGAAAACGTTTAATGATAAATAGAAGTGAGTTGAATGTGTAGGTCCATTAATGGTTTTATAGTTATATTTTACCAACATTCAGAGAGTAATACTGATAACTTGAACATGTACACAGAGTCATGTTGATATGCCATTTGATCGTTCGTTTAATTCTTTTATCAGTTTGTTCAGTTCTTGGTTTTTAATTAACCATTTGATTATCTCCGAATATGGACTTTCTCAAGTCTATTTGAGCATAGTTCTAGATTGGGAAGTCATAGTGATTGCGTTTCATTCACCACTAAGGGATGCTTGACTAATGCTAATACTCGATTCAGTTATCTTTATCTATTAATACATAACTTTATAAATATGACGTTATGTATTATCAATAGTCTTTCAGCGAACCAATACTATTTAACTAGTTTAACTTTTTTGAGTTTTCTCGATGATTGAATATCCGTTACCAAGTTATCCGTTTACAGGACATAAGCGTCTCTTTTTTCACATTATGGAGGAGAAAAGTGTAGGGAAATTCAATGATGACTTTTATTTTTCATAAGATACATATATTTATAAAGACGGTTAAAAATAAGTAGCCGAATTTCTTGCTATTTTTTTCAGGATCGTGAATTAGGCGATGAATACGGTTGGAAACAGGTGCATGGAGATGTTTTCCGCTCACCGCCTCATTCATCTTTATTAGCTAGTTTAGTTGGAACAGGGATTCATATTGCCGTGGTCTCATCCATAGTATTATTTTTGGCACTAACTAATAAATTATACACCGAACGTGGAAGCTTCATTTCTACTGCCATATTTGTTTTCGCTTCTACTTCACCGGTAAATGGATTGGTTGGTGGCAGTCTATATGCACGCATGTCTGGTAAGTCACTTGTTTGTATTATCTTTGTATGTTATCATCGCCAATCGTTTTCGTTCTCTAGTGGTAGTATCGTAAATCCTAAGTGAATCAGTGAAACTTCGATTAGATGGTTTTTAGTGTTTCTTTTTCACTGGCTTTGAGTCAGTTGGGTGGAATGCTATAATGACTGAACACTCAAGACTGACTTTGTATAAAGAACCCACAATGTGATAAACCTTTAAATGTTTTATATCCTATGAATATAACAAACAGAGAAAGAATACGGGATTTAACGTAACTGGTGACTAGAAAAGTTTTATGTAATATAATAAAATTTAATGCCCGTTTCCTTGATACATCTGAAAAGTTTATTGTCCTCGCTTCTAGCTGCTACCTTGATTTCGTGATTGGGCTTGGATACCATGATAACCCTTTCGAGATATATTGACCAGAACACTTTTTTTTAGCTCTACTATGCCAGGCGGGTCGTTTGGAAAACGGCAAGATTAAGAGCAGCAAGCTCATGGTTTGTGAGCAGTCTTACTGCCAACTATGTACGGGTATAAGTGTTTCCCTGAAACGACCGGCATCTACAGTGTTTCTGCAGCCTAACAACGGAAGGAAGGAGTTATTTGTTTTATTTATTTGAACACATAAATATTGGTACAAAGGGGCACCAGATACATGTGCGCCACACAAAAATAATGAGAATATGGAGAGATAAAGAATGTAAGGTGCGTATAAGAAAAAAGGGAACATCAAAGAACAGAAATTAGTGTATGATAGTGAAATAATAATGATGGAAGAAGCAGTTCAGTTAGCAAAGGTACAGTAAGAAAGAATCCCTCCAGCAACAGAAGTTACGTCCTTTTTTATGAAGAAAGTAAAATAATGTTACAACATTACCGCCACTGGCTTCTATTCTGAGCCATATCTGATAACTTCTCTAGCTACTGTGTTACACCATCTCTAGGACTCCAACAAGGGAGTTGTGAAGGACCGACTGAAGCCAGTCCTGTACAGCTTTGTTTCATACCACGACACCATGTCATACACTGACTACCTATCCGCTTTTTCCAACCAGTCCCAGCGTCGGCAAGTAATGCACGACGTGGAATTCTCTGGGACGACATTCGTAGAACATGTCCATGCCACCGAAGTCGGTGTTTCAAGATAGTGACACCAATTAAATTATCGTCGCTGTGCTTGAACACACGATGCCGAACCTCTGCATTACTAACATGGTGTTGCCATTGGATGTTGGCAATCCTTCGGAGACAACGATGATCAAACACAGAGAGTCGTCTAACATCTTCAACTCGGAGAGGCCAGGTTTCACAAGCATAGAGCAGAACTGCTCTCACCGACGCGTTGTAGATCCGACCTTTTACAGCCAGACAGACATCACGAAGGCGCCAAAGATGGCCCAGATTGGCATAAGCCGCTCTGGCTTTCACTATACGTGCATTGATCTTATCACCCACGCCACCACCAGTACTTATGCAGCCTCCCAGATACCCGGACTTCTCGACCAGTTCTGTCTGCTCACTACCCAGGGTGAGTGCAGGATCGGGGTCCTGTCAGTCTTGTAAAAGTACTTTGCACTTAGAAGGTGAGAAGCACATACCATACCTGCGGACACTAATTGCCAACTGGTTAAGTGCGGATTACATGGCTTAAGTATTGTCACACAGTAAGAAAATATCATCCTCATGCTCAAGTCTAGAAGTCTCTCCAGGCAACAGATTCACACTGTCATTAATTACATTCATCAGAACTGTTTCCAGAACGTCGTCAATTCGCAAAGTTGAGGAATGGTGAGCTTGAGCAACCCCGTCTAACCTCACTGCTTGAATGGAACGATAGAGAGAGGTGGTTGTATGCCCTCACTCTGCTCGGGGTGCGAACTGTTCAGGCACACACTTCAATAGACAGTCCCAGTGAACCGTCCTGTCCATCCTGTCATCTGGGCCTAGTGATTTGTAGCGCTTCAAGATTTGTAGTTCTTTGCGGACTTCCGCGTCATTTGATGGATCAGTCGTCACAGGACAGTCTGACGAATGTTACCTGGGTACAGACCAGTTGAACTGTTCGACGTCCAAGACATCAATAGATGTTAGTGGTCGTCATCCCGTCATCTTCACACATTGTTTCGCTCACAGCAAACTTCCTGTCGATGGTTTGGTTAAGTTGAAAGAGCCTCCGATATGCTGTACTATTCTATGGTCACAAAATGAGTAATACCTGTGTAAGGGATATAGTACTATGTAGTAATAACAGACCGATTGATGAGGTAGTAAGTATTCATCAATTGAGGTGGTTGGGACGCGTGTTACGTATGCTTATTCTCTGCTTACTTCAACGGGCGATGTTTTCTAGTGTAGGAGTAGACCGGAAGAAATTTAGTGGCAGCCTAACCAAAACATAGCACTGGCCCATGAAGTCACAGACAATTGGACTGACCCATGTTAAAAAGTATAGATAACCTGGTTAGGGTCCGCGTGATTGTCGTAACCAATGGTTAAAGACTTTGGTAGACACGGCTCAAAATCGTTTGAAGTGGCGCAGTGCATTCGTTCTATATCTTCCCCTAAATTCACCGTAACCTTTTTTGATTTTGCTTCACTAAATTATATATTTTTTCGAATAGTATCTTCGATGCCCATTCTTCCCCATTACCACTGATACTTACTACCTCTACTATTCTGTGATTTGGCCTGACAATTCCATACCTCTGTGTTACTGGGGTATGACAACTTGAACTGATGTACTTACGTAGCTGGTTCTACCTTATGACTGACTGACAAGTTCCCCAAATTTTATCGAAGTTGAAAAGGTCATAACTAATTTGAGGCAGGTCAGAGTAGCAGAATCCAGAGTCCTGTAAGAATGGTGGATTAGTTTACCAATTAGGTGAAATGAGATACCAAAATCTGAACGTATTTTCTCCTGACTAGTATCATTCGACGATCTCCCCAGTTTAAAAAAAGAACGGAAACTCCTATGTGGTAACAACAGAGGAATTAATTCGAGCAAAGTAGCGTCTAAAACACTAGTCTCAATAGTCATCCGACGCGTAATCAGGGCTTGTGAACTGGAAAATCGAAAACCCGGGTTGGTTTGAGATCTGTGTGTGAGTGTAGGTCAAATACCCTTTTCTATTCACATTTTCTAGACTCTACTTTCTGACTATCTGACCGACTGATAAATTTCTGGTTCAAACGTGCACATACGACTACCCGATCTCTAAGCACCAGCTAATTTCCTTAGTCGCGATAGAGTTTCAGTATTAAAAATATTGCAGTTATCTGGAGTGTGAATGTGAGGACTAATTTCATAAGATGTGGCAAAGAACATGTTGAATTTCTTAATCTCCTTGTGTTTTGGACGTTGGAAATGGTGTTGGTTGTATTAAATTCTGTACCGTTTAATGACAATGGCACATTTACTTTCTAGTTTCGGAGTATCATTTTGTCTAGGTAATTCATCCACTTGACCAAACTAGGCTGTCTGTTTTTATTTAATTATAAATCGTGTACAGGTATTATGATGTTGCTAATGAGTCACAATATAAAATGGAATGCCCCTTTCGCATGCAAAAATGAAAATGCGTGGTATGTGGTCTACAGATAAATTAAATTAGGGACTAAATCATTTTGTGCAATTTCTTGACTGAAAAGAATAACCCTAAAACGTTTTGTATCTGACTGTATTTGGTTTCAGTAGGGTTAAGTTCTGAGTGCAAGTGCTATTGATTTTGATTCTACATCTGGAAAACGTTATTTGATAACTGGATCACTATCATAATTAGAAGTATCGGCGGATTCAGTTATATCTAGTTTAGGATTATAGTACATCAACAGTAAATTAGTGGATAAAAATCGATTCTCCGTGGATAGTCTATTCGTCGAATTTACAAAATACTATACTATCATAATCATATCAAGAAATGACTCTAGGTTAGTTAAATATGAAGGTGTCGGTATTTGTTTGGTATGACTTATGTAATTTGGATTCTTCCGATGATCATTTTTATGAAAAATAAATCCAGGATACTTAACAGAATAAAAGAAAATATTACAAATTAAACAGATAATAGCAGTACATGTTATTTTCAGTAACCACTAAATCGGTATTAAAAACATCAAAATAATCCGAAAATGTTTTTCTAACTATAAAAAAGACAAGTAGCCGAAACGTTTCATGCAATACAAAATCCTTCTGCCCTCAATAGAAAGAAAGGCCTGAATACTCATCCAACTTGGATTGTTTATCCAAACAGCCACATTTAACTCTATTCATTCCCGGCCCAATCTCCACCTACACTCAAATTCTAACTGCATTCTTTCATATTAAAAATTAGACATTTTTCATAACCACCATCATACACAGAATGACGTCTCATACAGAAGCACCTTAACCAAAAATTCCACATGACATTGATATAATCAAACCTATTTCCGGTGGAACTCAATACTTCGTCCTTTTCCTGTTTTATTTAAGGTGTGTTAATTTGATTGCACTATCTATTTATTTACTCTGAAGAACTGGCTTACATTAGGTCGCGAGACGTCGAGAATTTTAATTGTCATTCTTTAAAATATTACAAATATATTTTCGTGAAGATTGAAAAAATTCAAATGTTTTTTTATGTACATCTTATATGAACGTATCACAGAAAACGAGACAAATTGGAGCATGAAAATAGGATTTTTCCTCGTAATCGTAGATTTAAGTGGTAGAATATGTGATATATGAGAAATCATGAACAGCTGAGTAAGGCTCAGAAGTATAAAATAGGACATTAGAAAGGACATAAAGCCATAGGAAAATTCCTCATAACTCACAAAAACGTGACCAACAAGATTCATTTAGAAGGATTTAGCAAAGCTTAATAAATTTGAAGTCCTCTTTTGTTTTTGTTGAGGGATTTTATACAACCAACATCATCCTCTCCAGCAGTCGCAAACATTTTCCATCTAGTTACACTTTGTTGATAGTGTCAGAAATTGTGAACACTAATTATCCTTTCTGTTCTTCCTAGGTATGTGTTCCGCAGGTACATGTAAACTTGTAAAAACATTAGGAGGTTACAGAAGTGGGAATTCATTCAATTTGGATTGTCTGAATGAATATTTCACTTGGTACATGCAGACAAATTAATCCGATGGATTTATCATTTTTAGTATTAGCTGTAGTTTAAAATCAATCTTTCCATCCATTTCATAGCTCTTGAACAAAGTTTTAGAAAAATATGTTTTTTCCAACCCTAGTCCTTTTGCTTTCCTATGTTCTAGTAGTTCCATATTTAGTTATGACTGAGTAAAACCGAGCTCTCATAACTAATCCAGTCATTTATCAACTTTCTCAATTTAAAAATATTATACTTTTGTTTTTGGAAAAAAAATCAGATCTTTCCACAAATATGTTTTCGCTCTCAATTGTGTAACGGTCATACATGATCTTCAATACAGTTAGATGTTTTTCGTATAGGTCTGCTAAAGTCAATGGTTTGATCTCGGTAGTTACATTCGAAGTAAACAGTCAGTGTATTAGTTAACGCCTGTTTGCCCACGCAACAAATCTTTCATTTGAAACGGCAACTCAACATTATCAAGCTCTTTGTACTATTATTAAACTTGAAAATCACGTGGCAATATGAATAGAAGTCCTCAATGCATTATGAGTAACAAATCCCAATATGTGTATAAGTAGGAACTTTTTCATTCAAAGTCTCAGTAAAACATTTGTGATTTTGAAAAGATTCGGTAATAGTTAGTGGGTCAAACGAAGCTTAGTATTCGAACAAAGCCAAAACGTCATAAGTCATCTATCAATTGTTAAAGAGTTCCAAAGTATTCCTCGTAAAAGCTCATAGAGGTCCGGGAAACTTTGCGAAATATTTTTTTCAAATCAACGTCGAGTAGAAGCTTCTCAAAAACATGTAGAAAGTGAGGAGTGTTGTGCCACGTTTCTGATTGGATAATTACCTACGCTGCTACCACATTTAGTATTGTACTAGAAGCCTAAAGCCTTCTGTAATACTATAAATACCCTCGTTTTTCTGAACATTAACTAACCTTAGAGTAAAGTGTTTTTTGTTCTTCACGCCTTTTCTCTTGTACCAAGTTACCTTGTAGATTTAATCTAGGGTCATTAGAAGGGGCTAGCAAATTGAATCGAGCGTCCAACTAGAAGTCTTATGATCAATAAATTTGCTTTAAAAATGTTTGATTCATTGAAGAATAGCTTTTATAGCTTTCCGTTTTTCATTTATTCGCCGATACACTACACTTTCATTGTAAAATTACCTATAACTTTGTTCGTTTTGAAATTTTCGTCTATTTCCATCCATTGTATTTTCCTGTCGTTTCGAAATGTAGTATCAGGAACCGATGTATTGTAAGACACTCAGCAGATGTGTTTTTTTCTCTTAAAGCTCTTTATTAGAAAATGTTTATGAAGTGACTGGAAGTTATTGAGTTGCACAGTAAACTCAATACCGTAGGTGTGATTGTTAACATCTTGTTTCATCGCAAACTGACTGAAATGTGAAACTACGTGCAATTATACTTTTACTTATTGGCTAGTACGGTCCTCATCGCGAAATTCGGAGATTTTTATACTCATAAAATTATGTTGTTATCTGTCTTCATTTGATATCCATTCTAAACTAGAATCAAACGTATGCCTATTGCTCCGTCATTCTAGTGTTTTCGGATTGAAAACCATATTCAAATCGAACAATATGTTAGTCAAATCTCGGTGCCAAAAAAGATTAATTACCAGTTAATTATTCTTCCTCAGTTAGTGACTTATCACCTATGTAAGGTACTGAAATAACTAAATGATGTAAAATCTTAGGGCTTTCAATTTAAGTTACATTATTTAAGGTTAATTAATCTGGAAAGTATCTGTATTAATAATGAAATGAAGAAAGTTTTCGAAAACCAATTCCTATTGTTGTTTTTATGGGTTGTTCTCAGATAATTACATTTTTGTTTACCATGGTGAGATGTTATCCGTATCTCAAACGTTTATCTTATTCTAATTGTTTTTCCTTCTGGTGACCCTTTTCTCTATCTTTTCTGGGCTACAGAGGGTGTGGTGCAACGCTTTATCGCTTATTTAAGCTCAAAATTCCAATAGGTTTTTTTAACATTTAAGGGAATTTGTAAAAGTAATTATTTTATTGCCAAAAATTTTTAGTGGTTATTGTTTTCTTTCTTATCAGCGTTGTTATTCAAAATTTTTGTTTATAATTTGAAGTAATTAGTCCACTAGAGTGTTCCCTTTAGTTATCTTTTGGATTCAAACTTTTCATTTTCTCTCAGGCAAACGCTGGATTCGTCAATTCCTTATGGGTGCTACGTTATTGCCTTTTCTAATATGTTGTTTCACTTTTCTGGTAGATCTTGTTGCTATATACTACCGTACAAGTCGGTCTATCCCATTCTTCACAATGCTCTCCATCACTTCCATTATCTTATTCGTAATCATTCCATTAAATTTAGTCGGTACTGTGTTAGGTCGTAATTTATTTGGTTTAGCGAATTTTCCATGTCGAGTGAATCCTGTTCCTAAAGCAATACCGGAAAAGAAATGGTTTATGGAACCGTCATTTCTCATTATTGCAAGTGGACTATTACCGTTTGGATCAATTTTTATTGAACTGTAAGTCTATACACTAGTTTTATACAGCCAGATCCGTACTTATATTTACCAGTAATTGTTGATTTAATCCTTCCATTTTATTGAACAGGTCTTAGAAACTGACATTTTACGAATCATTAACCAATATAGATGGCATCAAATAAATGCTGCTTTTCTTTTTGTAGTCAATCATAAGCAACTTAGGGCCTGGGGCGATTTTTTCGACTGCCCAAGTTGTTATGCTTCATAGAACAATGGGATGAAATAAAAAAGAAATAATAGTGACTAAATTAAGCATTAGCGAATATATTTCAAAAAGAGGGTGTGTATAATAACATTTGCTGTTACCTTGATATGGTGGTCTATTGCGATGACTCATTTGAACCATATTAGCTCGAATACTTTTTCTTTGATGCCCTTTTATGATGGGGAGGTCTAATAAAGAACGGTAAAATCAAAGGTAATATATCTAAGGTCATATTTCAAGTCTATTGCGATGTGATAGCAACGAGCTGTCCCCAGCACTCGACTAATATTTTCCAAAATAAACGAGTCAAAGTAAGTCGACCGTCGAAATCAATTATTTTTTTTGAGAATATGACTAGTAGGTTGCTTCTTGGTGAATATGGTCTATTGTCTAGGTATGTGACTTCGGCTCCACAGAGCGATAGTTTAAGTGCGAGCGACGGAAGTTCTTTTGTACACGAAGCTCTCATTCGTGTTTGTTGTTCTCTGGTTCCATGTAACTTAAACATGATAGAAATACATATATACATACGTTTGTTCAGAGCAAGTAATGGATGTCTAAGTAGCTGCTGTAACCTGTATACGCCACTGGCAATGCTTGTTCTTGACAGGTTATCAACGGTAATACAGTCGCAAAGGTTGTTTTTGGATATTGTAAATTCAAAGTGAAAACTAATTGTTGATACAATTTATTGGCTTCTTCGTGGCACATCCTCCAGTTTTTCGTATCCGTGTTCTTTTTATCATTATGATTTTAGTAACCTTTCGAACATTTATATAAACTTCAAAAACTAAAGTTTGTTTAAGCTTTGTTAATAATGTAGATAGTTATAATTCTAGGTTGTACGCAGTTGATGAGAAACCGTGAAATGGAAAGAATTATTTTCGTTTTTGTTGTTTTTTCTGTTTAGATTTACCTAGGTATCTGTATGTATAAGGTTCTCTATATGTTTAGAACTTAATTTTGAGAGCTATATTGAAGTCGCTGAGTTTGTCAACATTTCAAATGAAGGTTGTGTCGAAATTTTGTAGTTCTGTTCGTCTACTTTTCCGGTTCTTCTCTAGCCTTAGTTTTTGTATTGTCACGATCAGGTGGTGGTCTGCAGTTGTGTTAGTTCCTCTCTTTGTCCTTATGTTTCACACAGATTTTCTGAATTGCCTGCTGATGCAGATGCGATCGATCTGGTTTTCTATAGCGTAGTCGGTGGAAACCCATATAACTTTTGTGAGTAAAAATGCTACCACATATAGCCAATTTGTTTAAAACATGTAGATTTATCATTCTTGCACCATTCCCGCCTTTTCTCCCAGTCCATGTCATCCCATGATATTTTATACCCGGTATTGTACATACCAACCTCGAAGTTTAAGTTCCCCATCAGGATGGTCAGGTGTTTTCCTGAACATTTGTTTACTATGGACTGAAACCCCCCTATCAAATTAATTTTAATCTTCTCCACTGCTATCGTTGGTAGGTGGGTAACATCGAACGACATCCATTGTGATCTCTTCCTTTGTTTTGAGGACTCTGCATTTTGTCAGCGTCTTCACTAAATAGAACTATGTCATCGGCATATTCTAAGTCAACAAGTGAATCTCCCGGTAAAAGTTCAACCTCTGGAAATTTAAATGAGGAAAGTGTTATCTCTAAAAGCACGTCAACGATAAAGTTAAACAAGAATGGAGAGAGTAGACAACCCTGACGAACATCACTTACTTGAGGTAATCAATTATGATGACAGTTCGCCATAAGCTCTTACTCGACCAGTTGTGTTCAAGTAGAGAGCCATTATAAGGTTAATGTACTTCTTTGGTACTCCTTTCAGTGAAAAACACTGACATAGAACCTCACGATCAGCAGAGTCAAATGCCACCTTAACATCGAGAAATACTACGATTGTGGGACGTATGAATGTGTGTCTATGTTCTAGGACCTGATGTAGTATGAATATCTGGTCTATACGACCACGTCCAGGTCGAAAACCAGCCTAGTTTTCTCTAGTCTGCTCTTCACAAGCTTTAGTTAGGCGTCAAAGTATTATTGAAGCTAATATTTTAGACACTATACTAGTCAAACTGATTCCTCTGTGATTATCATAAGGGGACTTTTGCCCTTTCTCATGGACTGGCACAATCAGAGATTGAGAGCAGTCAGATGGGATTACGTCCAGTCCCCAGATTCTATCTAAGACCTCATTCAATCTCGCTGCTAATACTGGACCGCTATCCTTGAAAATCTCAGGGGCAAACCTGTCAGGGCCTGCTGCTCTCCCACACTTCAGATTTCCTATAGCTTTTTTAACTTTGTAAAGAGTTGAAGGACTTACATCAACTTGCCATTCAGGTCGACTGGAGATCGTGGGATACGGAAGTGTGATTGAAGGCCTGTTGAACTGATCCCTAAAGTGTTCTGCACATCGATCCAATCTCATGGATTGAGAGTGAACAATATGTCCATCGTTTTCGGAGATAGTTTCACTAGCAGTTGGATTCATAATACCGGTTTTCTTTTCAAGTCTGAACAGTTGTCTGCCGCTGCCTTTTCCATCTCTCTTGCTTTCGCTACCTACCACTGTTCGCGATCATTGCTTAGGCTACTTATCAGCCTGCGCTTAAGCTGACTCCGCTCTTCGTTATGTTCAGAGCCAGATGGCATGAGTTTTCGAGCATCTGTCAGTGCGGTAGATGCTGCTGCGATCCAGTGTTTCTCGCTAACCTTATGGTTGACCTTACTAGCAGATGTCACTGTTGTTTTCACAGCTTTTCGGATATCATTCCACGCTGCCTCGGGGTGGGCATCACTTACGTGGCTGTCTAACTGGTTTTCTAGTTGTTCCTGAAAAATATTCTTAGCTTGGCTATCATTAAGTAGAACCCTAAGAGGTTTCCTTGCAGAGTCTTTTCTACGTCCAGTAAGGTGCAGACAAATACGCGCTCGCGCTAGAGCATGAGCTGAATCTAGGCATGTGCTCCAGGTTGAGTGACAGTCTTCTATCGAGCCCCTCCATCGGTGGCTGATAGCAATGTGATCTATTTGGTCCAACGTTAGGAAGATTCCACGGATCGCCATGTCACAAGATGTTTTTTCTTTATGCGTAAAGTTAGTATTTGCTAGAAACAGACAGTTATCTGAGCATAGCTGGAACAGACGATCGCCATTATCTGTTCTTTGAGCCACGACACCATAAGATCCGCCCAAGTATCCTTCCTTTTCGCTTAGTTTATCTACTTGAGCATTAAAGTCACCAGCCATTATTACTATATCAGAGCGCCTAGCTTTTCGGTGAAGGTCGGAAAGCTTTCTGTAATATTCGTCTTTCACATCATGTGAGCTGCAGTCAGTAGGAGAGTAGGCAGAGACGACGAAGAGGCAACAACCTGTGTCCCTATCTTTCCGAGTCCTTGCTGTTCCATTTAGTCGGACAGCGCACAAACGACTGTCTACTGAGATCCAGTCTAGGAGAGCAAGTTCTACCTTATAACTCAATGCTATACCTACATTGGCGAGGCTACGGGAAGCAGCATCTGGGCTTCCAGGTACACGAAGCGTGAATCGAGTTGGTTCTTTATTTTGATATAGTGAGGTCAAATGAATGGCGCTACTCGGATCCTGTATGCGCGTTTCGGAGATGTAGCACACATCGATGGCGCGAGATTCCAAAGTCCTAGCTAAGGAAGCCTGTTATCCTATTTGGCCCAGTGTTCGGATGTTCAAAGCTCCTACATGTATTTTAGAGAGTGGTTTCAGGAGACCGGGAATAACGTTCCATGTACTCGAATCGTTTGCACTAGCGGTGCGAGATGATAAAGAGACATAAGAATGATTAGTCGTGATGATAGGAGTTATTGGAATGTGTAGGAAGGGTTTGATTGCGATCAACTTGGTCTCGTGTTCTGTTACGTGTATGATAGCTGACGTCACTTCCGGGCTGCTCACATTGTGGAAAGTTTGTGTTTTATATTACATAGTCCTATTGTTTTCTGTTATTAATTTGGGTAAACGAATGTTTAGTATGCTACACCTGTTCCATAATATGTGGTTAAATAATCTACCTAGAAATCTGCATTTCTTTGAATACATAAATCCAATCACTGAATTTGGCAATATCAGCGGAATTTCGAAGATTTGGTATTTTACTTTCACTCTACGCAAAGTATCGAAATGTTTTAGACCAAAAACGAACATACATTTCTTCTTGTAGTAGTTTAATGCTGGTAGTGAAATCGGTCCGTAATATCCAACACGGAATCTGCGACATATTTACATGGGTTCCACGTGTCAGATCATATCACCACAGTGAGATAAAATTATCAAATCTAATCCCATAGAAGTAGTATCATTTACATATGTAGTAGAATAGATTAAGCAGGGAAAGAAATAAAACAATTGTAAGTGAGTTTCAGAACTCAGTAAAGTGAATTCATCTGATAGACAAATGTCAACTATACTCCAAAATCGTTTCATCACTTTTCTTTTAGCTGTCGTCGAGTGACCAGCTACTATACTTCAACTGAATGTTGGTATCAGTAAATGAGAATATACATCAAACTTAATTTAACATAATCAGAAGAGAATATTTTGTATTTCATAACTAGGAAATTCACACTTCAACTTTTCATCTTTTCTCTTTCTAATTGCTTAATTGCAGATATTTTGTCTTCACATCATTTTGGGCGTATAAAATTTACTTTGTTTTTGGCTTCACTTTGCTTGTTTTATTTCTTCTAATTGCTGTGACAACATCTGTTACTGTTGTGGGCACCTATTTCTTGTTGAATTCTGAGGATTATCGTTGGTAAGTGAGATTAACTCAATTATTTTGTAGTTTTACCATGAAAACTTGTTTAGAGTCGTGTTACTGACCAATCCACTTAACTTTCTGACAGTTCTCAAGTTTGAATCCTCTCCGCTGACCGAGGTTCGGGTATCCTGAATACAGAAATTCCTACTTTATATCTGATCTATTTCTTCTCTGTCTAATTATGAAAACTCCATATGAGAATGGTCTTACTTAATAGCAGTATGAAATATTATACTCAAGATTTGCGATTATTGTTAAGATAACTAATGCAACTCTACTTTGCGGCTTTTTTTCCAACTCAAATTCTTGTTAAAAGTGTATTTTCTCATGTGATATTGATAGATCTTTAAGATTGTCATTGATCTGGATGCAACTCATGGTAAAGTTAATATCACATTTCGCTAGCATAAGTTTAGGGATGTAACGTACAAGCCCATTAAGTCCTTCTATATATTTCTTCAACAGATTCATAATTCCCATCTAAGCATTCTTATCGGGATTAATCCACATACATATATCCTTACGCATTAGTATTTTTGGTAGCTTAGTTTATTTTGAAATTAACTTGTCCATAGTTTAATATTAGCTATTGAGTGACTAGAAAGAGATAACAATGCTTAACTGTTTCATTTTAGTTTAAGACATATACTGTAACGCATTTACCTAAGTTTCTCCTTTATGGCACTTTCTGTGTAAGTATCAGTCGTACTGTTTTGTTGGTCAGAAAAGGTTGTTGAAGCAAGATTTAGGTCTGTAATACGACCGTAAAAAAAATCAAGTGATCTAACCACTTAGCCTCCACAAATCGTTGTACCGTCAAATCTTTATAACATCTTCGATTCCATTCCTTGAAGCGATTTAAAACCACATACTTTAATAACATTATCAAACTATGTTGTTCATTGGAAAACTAGTTTCTGAATTTTCTTAGCAAATTATTTTTAATGAATTGGAAAAACCACCGAGTTCAACTAGAACAACGTACACTTAAACACCAAGGTTTCTTTGCATTGAAATAGTATTAATCGCACTGTCATATATTGATGAATATTCTTGTATTCCTTTTCTTGTGTTTTTATTGGATGGCCTTTATTATTATTGTTATTACTGTTAATATCCTGCTTTATTAGGCAATGGACAAGTTTTCTTTCTGGTGCATCGATCACGTTTTATGCATATTTATATTCGATTTACTACTACTTCTTCAAAACCAAGTGAGTATCTGTCAACATATGTTTCCTTGTATTTCAGCTTTGGACTGCTATTTTAGTATATAACGTGTCATCGATATCTTCAATAAATTGCCTATATTCAGTGGTGTCACTTTCTAAGTGATCCTGATGTCCATGATTGTGTTTGCACTTTTCAAACAGGGTAGTTCCACTCTGTCCCGATGGGTCGTGTGACTTACATGTTTCCCCAGCTGGATCTGAATGGCTCACCATTTAGCGATATAGGACTAGGTAGAGGCGGAATAGTGGTAAATTTGAGATGTGGTGTTGAGAAATGAAGGATAGTCGTATCGGGTTTGTGTATATTCATTTATCACGACACTGTGGGTTCTAAATTGTCATACAACTCATTATCTTAAGACATTTATGAGACCTGACTTAAAACGAAAATCAGTGATGGCCTCGCTGTAGTTTTCTACATTATACTTCATAAACAGTAAAACATACTTTCCAACTAAATGAAATCCATCTTTTTATGTCTCGTTTTGCTACGTAAAACACATTTTTCAAGGCTCTATTTAACCAAACATTTAATGTTACAATTAAAAGTAGGTAGTATGGTGTGTAGTAGAGATGACTGAAATGTAAAATCCTCACTATTAATATTCTTCTTTGTTTCAATTTCAGGATGTTTGGTCTATTTCAAACTACTTTCTATTTCGGTTATATGGCATTGTTTTGCCTATGTATAGGGTTACTTTGTGGTAAGTCTCTTTGGTCGCACACTTTTAGACTTATTCGAATATGAGGTAACGCGAAATTCTTTGTTCTTCAAATAAAAGTACTGGTGCTGTGAGTGGCGATTTCAGAATTTTGAATTTTAAGTACTTTTCAGCAGATAAGTTCATTTCTAGTCTGCACTGTCACGTTTACAAATAAAGGCTTAACTGTTCGAGCCCTTACTTATAATTAGGTCATCGACAAAGTCTCAGTAGGAATATGAAATGCTTATTCGTGATCTAACACCCTGCACCATGGAAACGGACTGATGAGGTATCTACCTATGTTACGTCCTTGGTCTGTCTACCCACTTCTATAAGATTAAGACCTTGACGCGATAGGTTGACTGGTTTAACCTTGAGGCTAGCATGCATGAATTCGGAGTGAGACCAACTGTTGGCATAGAGAGACGAAAACTATTCTATCATCTGATGGGTTGACAAGCACTCGAGCGAGAGAAGACAAATCAACTGGAACACTACTCGATTTATTCCCAATTCCGATCTGGTTCGTGATTCAGATTAGTGTAAAAAGATACATGAATAAATTCATGACTAACCAGACTACAACGCACAAACAATCAGGAAACTACAATTTTGTCCAAAACTGGGGATTACAGTAGAAAATGGAGTATAAAATATTACGTTTAAATTTTAGTAGCCTTGGAACAGAAAAGGCTATGGCAGTGAATCATACATCAAACGAGAGCTTATGGTCTGTAGAATACACTTGGGACAAACGTAAATATTACTGTTTTACAAGATTTGGATTAAAGAGAATAACGTCCCAAAAAATGGCTTCCGTAGTTTGTCAAGATTTCTTGTTTTTCTGTTCACATCAACCTATTAGAAAAAAAGCTTCATATGTAGCAATTCACATTAACTCTGCACCGGTGAATTCACATTATTATTATAAAGATCATTAGCAATGTTTAACTTGATTGTTTCAAATAAATTATACGTTGCGTTAACAGTTGTTTGCTATACTACTTCTTATGAATATCCAAAACAGTAAGAATTGAAATTTCCGACGTCTCGCGACCTAATGTAAGCCAGTTCTTCAGAGTAAATAAATAGATAGTGCAATCAAATTAACACACCTTAAATAAAACAGGAAAAGGACGAAGTATTGAGTTCCACCGGAAATAGGTTTGATTATATCAATGTCATGTGGAATTTTTGGTTAAGGTGCTTCTGTATTAGACGTCATTCTGTGTATGATGGTGGTTATGAAAAATGTCTAATTTTTAATATGAAAGAATGCAGTTAGAATTTGAGTGTAGGTGGAGATTGGGCCGGGAATGAATAGAGTTAAATGTGGCTGTTTGGATAAACAATCCAAGTTGGATGAGTATTCAGGCCTTTCTTTCTATTGAGGGCAGAAGGATTTTGTATTGCATGAAACGTTTCGGCTACTTGTCTTTTTTATAGTTAGAAAAACATTTTCGGATTATTTTGATGTTTTTAATACCGATTTAGTGGTTACTGAAAATAACATGTACTGCTATTATCTGTTTAATTTGTAATATTTTCTTTTATTCTGTTAAGTATCCTGGATTTATTTTTCATAAAAATGATCATCGGAAGAATCCAAATTACATAAGTCATACCAAACAAATACCGACACCTTCATATTTAACTAACCTAGAGTCATTTCTTGATATGATTATGATAGTATAGTATTTTGTAAATTCGACGAATAGACTATCCACGGAGAATCGATTTTTATCCACTAATTTACTGTTGATGTACTATAATCCTAAACTAGATATAACTGAATCCGCCGATACTTCTAATTATGATAGTGATCCAGTTATCAAATAACGTTTTCCAGATGTAGAATCAAAATCAATAGCACTTGCACTCAGAACTTAACCCTACTGAAACCAAATACAGTCAGATACAAAACGTTTTAGGGTTATTCTTTTCAGTCAAGAAATTGCACAAAATGATTTAGTCCCTAATTTAATTTATCTGTAGACCACATACCACGCATTTTCATTTTTGCATGCGAAAGGGGCATTCCATTTTATATTGTGACTCATTAGCAACATCATAATACCTGTACACGATTTATAATTAAATAAAAACAGACAGCCTAGTTTGGTCAAGTGGATGAATTACCTAGACAAAATGATACTCCGAAACTAGAAAGTAAATGTGCCATTGTCATTAAACGGTACAGAATTTAATACAACCAACACCATTTCCAACGTCCAAAACACAAGGAGATTAAGAAATTCAACATGTTCTTTGCCACATCTTATGAAATTAGTCCTCACATTCACACTCCAGATAACTGCAATATTTTTAATACTGAAACTCTATCGCGACTAAGGAAATTAGCTGGTGCTTAGAGATCGGGTAGTCGTATGTGCACGTTTGAACCAGAAATTTATCAGTCGGTCAGATAGTCAGAAAGTAGAGTCTAGAAAATGTGAATAGAAAAGGGTATTTGACCTACACTCACACACAGATCTCAAACCAACCCGGGTTTTCGATTTTCCAGTTCACAAGCCCTGATTACGCGTCGGATGACTATTGAGACTAGTGTTTTAGACGCTACTTTGCTCGAATTAATTCCTCTGTTGTTACCACATAGGAGTTTCCGTTCTTTTTTTAAACTGGGGAGATCGTCGAATGATACTAGTCAGGAGAAAATACGTTCAGATTTTGGTATCTCATTTCACCTAATTGGTAAACTAATCCACCATTCTTACAGGACTCTGGATTCTGCTACTCTGACCTGCCTCAAATTAGTTATGACCTTTTCAACTTCGATAAAATTTGGGGAACTTGTCAGTCAGTCATAAGGTAGAACCAGCTACGTAAGTACATCAGTTCAAGTTGTCATACCCCAGTAACACAGAGGTATGGAATTGTCAGGCCAAATCACAGAATAGTAGAGGTAGTAAGTATCAGTGGTAATGGGGAAGAATGGGCATCGAAGATACTATTCGAAAAAATATATAATTTAGTGAAGCAAAATCAAAAAAGGTTACGGTGAATTTAGGGGAAGATATAGAACGAATGCACTGCGCCACTTCAAACGATTTTGAGCCGTGTCTACCAAAGTCTTTAACCATTGGTTACGATAATCACGCGGACCCTAACCAGGTTATCTATACTTTTTAACATGGGTCAGTCCAATTGTCTGTGACTTCATGGGCCAGTGCTATGTTTTGGTTAGGCTGCCACTAAATTTCTTCCGGTCTACTCCTACACTAGAAAACATCGCCCGTTGAAGTAAGCAGAGAATAAGCATACGTAACACGCGTCCCAACCACCTCAATTGATGAATACTTACTACCTCATCAATCGGTCTGTTATTACTTCATAGTACTATATCCCTTACATAGGTATTACTTATTATGTGCTGCATGTGCTGGTGTTGTCAATGTAATTTGTAAATTTTTCAGCTGCAGATGGTTATTATATTTTTTTCATGTAACATTTATTATTCAGGGCGCTGTGTTGTAGATAAGTGAGATTGATTTTGTTTGTGGTTGATCTGAGTGGAACATAACCGACAAGTTCACGACTGTTAGGTATATAATAAAGTATATGTGGTGTCTCTATTCGGTTAGTATTCATTTATTTTCTTATTCACTCACACTTCATCTTTTATGATTATTTACATATGTTAGTGTTGTTTGTGAGTGTTAACTTATGATCATCGTGGAAAATTTGTTTTCTCTAGAAATTATCTGAATCTGTGGTTATTATAGATGCTTAATCTGGTTTACGTATAAAGTGATATATATTTTTATATATATGCCAATCCGTTTTTCTATATGTTTACTTTCTAATATAACCAGCTGTGCATGAAAACTTAAACAATTATCCCTCTCTTTTTCAAGGTTCAGTTGGATACATTGCTGCTAATAGATTCGTTCGTAAAATATACTCGGTTGTCAAGGTGGATTGAAATGCTTAATCATGACCAGATATTGTTCCCCTCTGTTTTTGTATGAAATTCTTAAGCTGTGATTATTGTTAACGTTTTTTCCTCTTCCTCACCTTCTGTACTCTGTGTATGTTTTTTCCACTATTCTATGTGACTTCGATTTTGGTGTAAGTTGTTTGGGGATTTTTTATCTATGGTCAGTATTTTATTTCTTAAATTAGCTTTGTTCATATAAGCACACGTCAACACTTCATTTGTGTTTGAGGAATTCAGTTTTTATTCTTACATTACCATTAATTATAATTACGTTTCGTTATAGTTTTTGATTTTTTTTCTCTTCACTCATAGTTTTATCTGTTTCTAGGTTGCTTCCTGTCAAATGTAGCGAACTGTACTTTGTTACCCATTGTGAACAGTGACATGATATAAAGAGTAATTTGTATCCATCCTTTTATTGTCACATAGTATGTTTATCTTGATAAATAGCTTCACATGTGAGTGATATTCTAAAATGATTAGAAGTAGTCGAATTGATGTGCTGACTAAGAATTCCCCAAATAGCCCAATCTATGACAAGTTAAGATAGATCAGCACAATTGAACGTGATATATTTGGAATTGGTAATAAGTCTGGAGTCAAGTACAAAGAAGTCATCAGTTAGTACAAATACCACGTGTTCTTGAATGATAGTGTCTTGCTTAACAGTGCCATTCATGTCTCGGAATGAAGATAGCTGCATCTCAAAGACGTCTGCATTGTTGCTTAGGGTGGTCAAAAGACTAGTTTGTTAGCGTCTTCATCAAACGGAACTACATCATCTGGTAGGAGTTCTATCCCTGAAAAGCCAGACGATGGAAGTGTTATTTTCAAAGGCATGTCTTTGACGAAATGGGTAAATCGGGCAACCCTGACGAACACCACTTGCAGTAACCGATTCCGACGAAAGTTCTCCACAAACTCCGACTCAATCAATACTGTCCGAGTAGGGCTTCTAAAGGGTTAGTGTATTTTCTTGGTACGACTTTTAATGACAGACTGCCACAAGACCTCACGATCAACGGGGTCGAACGTCGACTCAAGGTCATAGGACACGCCTGTGGTCGGGCATCGGGATGATATGTCCGTGTTCCACGACCAGACGGACTTTGAGTATTTAGTCTACACATCCAGGTCTGAAACCACCCATGTTTTCTCAGATTTGCTCTTCATGAGCTCTGGTTAGGCATCGAAGTACTATCGGGGATTATGTTTCAGACTCTATACTAGTCAAACTAATTCCTCTGTGATTGTCACAAGAGGTATCTCAATTCCGCTACTGCGGTCGAAATTGTAATTGTCCACCTTAACTCCAAAATACTGTATAGTCGTCAGGTTCTAACGTGATTTGTGTATTACGTATATCTCAGATGTTAATATTTGTGGGAGTCAGTGTGTTCAGAAAGTGTGATCTAAATCAATGGTTTTTGATGACGGATTTCAGTGATGTGCAGATATTTCAATTAAGACTAACCAAGAATTCGGAGGCTCAATAGTTAACGATTTCGTTCAGAACCTTAGATGTTATTTGACCACCACAGTTTGCCGCGTTTAACACACTTGAAACATCCAGACTAAAACAATAATACCACCCTCATATTACCAGCCAGGATGTATGGACTATTAATGACTTAAAATTTTAATGGAATATGATTCTGTCTGGATTTATTGACTTTGCACAAGAATAAATTTCCCGCGACTCGGTACACATGCTTGTCAGGTATGAGATCATAAGTAAGAACTAACCACTCATCGGTTTGCCGTTTTCTTGACGGCTGTGACTATTAAGTGAGTAGTAATCTAGTTTATAAATTATCACGGCTCAGTCCGTCTATCAATTAAGGGACGAGTATACTGCGCGACCGTTCGTTCTGTTTTACTTTACGGCTGCGAAAGGTGGCCTTTAAGGGTAGAAGATATTCGTAAGCTACTAGTATTTGACCACGGATGCCTTGGGAACATTTCTCGCACCTTTAATTATCGGGTGAGTAATAGTGAGGTTAGCTGCAGGGTATTGGGGAATGATGTCTGGGCCACGGGTTGCGTAGGCCTGAACACCAATTACCATGACGCTCAATGCTGACTAGTGTTGGTGATGGTTGAAAAGAAGTTAGGGGCAGCCAAACCCAAACGCGGCATCAGTGCTTGAAGTCACTAACTCCTAGTCTTAGTCATGTTGGTAAGTGCAAACTACTCGGTTGGGGTCTGCGTGACTATCGCAACCAATGGTTGGAGATTGGGTGACATGGCTCAGAATCGATAACAATGGGGTAGTTGTATACACTTTCTGTCTCCCCTTAAACTATGAGAACAAAATTGTTTTATGTCTTTCATCCTGTAATATATCCTTATATTCAATCCTTTTATATATTACCACGATTGAATTAACCACTATGAATTCGGTGTTCATCTTGTTGTGCTAATGAGGTATGACAACTTGGACTGTTGCATATATGTGCCTGGTCCTACTTTGTAGCTGACTGCTCAGTGCTCACTCGATGTAATCGATCAACAAATCTTGTTCATGTCCCTTGAATGTTCCCACTTTGTATGAATCGCCAACCAATAGCTTACCCTGTTGGGTTTGAAAAGCATTTCTATAGTTAGTAAAGTGAAGCTGAAGATGTTTTCTTGGTTGCCATCCAAACTTTCGTCAAATATAGGTCATAGTAAGTTAGTGATTCAGTTGTAAAGTCAAATGGGTGGCCTAAACGTCATTACAATATAAGTGATTTAAACTGATTGCGCATATCTTTTTTAGATAATTTGAAACTGGATTCATTTTATAAGTTATCATGTGACCACCCACTGTTTTTACTGTCCTCTAGAGGCGAATAGCCTGAATACTTGTATTTCCCCCATTAAGTGACTTATTGAAAATAAAAGAAACATTATTTTTATTACAACTGGAGATTCGATTCTTTAATATGAAACAGGTTAGTGACGGAGTCACAAGGAAATATATGTAATAACGAGCCTGTTGCGACTGATACACAGATAAACTATAATGGGCCTTTGAGTACGCCTCAATTTATAAATCTAATGAATTTCCCAAGGTTCCACTTCACCAGTGGCCACGAGAGAACTGCTTTTCAATTAATAATTTACAGCTTAGTGTCTATAATAAACAACATTGTTACTGCTAATTGCTGCTCCTCTTGAAGTGTAAGCTTGGACTCAACAAATGTAATTTAGAATATTAAAGATTTACATTGTGAAAATTAGGACAACACATATAAGCGAACAATTGTTTTCAATTAGATTGTCATCAGGCTTTAGTTTATTTTCCAGGCTGAAGGTACATTGTGAAGGGAGTTTGGAAAGTTTTGTTAGAGAATTCTGTAGGGAAGGAAGCAGTCTTTGAGAATCTGTGCTGACACGGGCGTACAACTGAGAATCGAAACTGGTTAGGGGGATAATATTTTGAATAACAAAACATTTTGAGATTGAAGGTCTCATTATATCGTCTACGTGTTTGTGCAGGACTGTGGGAAGCGTCAGCACATGAGTAGACGTGAGCCGTTGAGTTTAGGTCTGAATGACTTCCATTATCAGTAACTTAGCATTTTGAAACATCAGCTGGAAAACAGGAACTCTGACTCATCTTTCCTCACTATTATTATTATTTTCTAGAGGATCTAGCGTTTCAGCAGTTAGACAAGAATTCGAAAAATATGCATGGCCAGAAGTCGTAACATCTTTGGAGTCAGATTTTTACTATGATCTGGGATGGGGTATATGCTTTCCCTCTCGAAATGCTCTCATAGAGCCACATATATATGGCATAAGCTAGAGGATTCTCATTGTCTTCTCCCGGTTGTGGTGTTGTTTGCCAAAGTGAGCGGATAAGGAGTAAACGTTCAGACTTTTACCTGGACTGGTACGAACGATCAGTCTATGGGGTTAGGAGGTCCTATTTACGAAACAGTCGTGCATATAATCGGACTGTTTAAGAACCTATTTTGGCTATCAGCTATCAAGGGAATGAATCCCCTTGATATTGCGCCTCTGTCTGAGGATTAAATTTTAATCGATGGACCACGTGGCACACAATCATCCTAGTCCACACAATGAATCTACTATTCGCACATACGATATTCACAAATATTTCGTTATGGTCGTTTATGATTCACATTTAGCTACTTAATACTTTTTTATTCCCATTTTGTGTACGTTCTCCCAATTTACCCTGAGGCTTATGGATTATGGAAGTTTCGTCCTGTCTAACTGATCTTAGGTCATCGACTGTGGGGCAGTTGCTATTGTTATATCCTAGGGGAGATTAAATTACAGGTAACTTCCGAGGACTATTAATGAGCTAATATTCTTTAAATATTCTTATTGCATAATTATTCAATAGTTAGATTATGTATATTTATATCCCTCTTATTATAAGCTTTATTATGACCTATAATTTATTATTATACGATTTACTGTCCCTAAATTATGCTCAGTTTATTAACTACTGCCTCCCACGTTCACGGCCACTTTTTGGCTTTATTGCGCACAAATGTTATTTCCTATTTTATGGTGCATTGCGGTCTGTTTGTTTGTTATATAAACACATTATGTTTGAAATATATGATTCGCATAGTGGAAGCTGGTATTGTTGTTCTGGACTCAAGTGGACGGGCTAGGCGAACATAGGACCAATTTGGACGCTAGGCTGCTCATACCGGTCAAACGTCATTGGTTAGGCAGTGCTGAAATTGTATAAGTCGTATTTTGATTGGCGCATAAATCACGTGATAAAAAGCCGGACATAAAGTCATAACAGCTATAGAAATCGATAACTACGATCATTATTGTATTCCGTATTTGATAATATTCTCGTTCTTTAGTGTTTTCTCATATCGATAATTCTTTTCAACATCATTTCATTTAACCCCGCTATTACTTTTAATTATAGTAACACGAACGTTTTATCTCTCTTACTGCTTTCAGATTAAAAGCTATTGTTTACGTACAAGCCTTTCTATTTGCATACACAATCTTAGATCTTTACTGCTTACATTATATAATCCAGTATCATAACTTTTCTATTACATCATCATATGTATTCTTTGCTCATACGTCCTTGGATGGAGAATGCTGCTGAGCGGCCTATGCTTCTCCATGAGTAACAGGTGTAAGTAAAACCGAAACAGTGAATTACTATGTTCTAATATAAGATATAATTTCGGAGGTTAGTTTTAACAATATGTTTTTATAGGCATCAATCAAATAAATGTTCTTTTTCATTCAAGTGATTTAGAATGGAAGATATTTGTTAATATTACATACTAATTGTTTTATTGTTTAATAGATAATTTAAATGATGATATGTGCACTGGTTCGCCAGATATTTCAATCAACTTTTTCAGTAAGTTAACTTTTTTCAATGTGGCCAGATCTGACTCTACCTCATATAATACAGCTAAATTTGAAATCATTACATCATGTAGACAGAATCGACGACATCGTGCATTGAACATGAATGATGTAGAAAATCCTGTAGTTGTTGAAGCAGTTGTAATAACGCCTAAGTTGTTTATTGGTTGACTAGTTAGTCCAGTTGTTGTTAGATCCTCCAACACTTCAATTGATTTTGATAGTCGTCCAACATATAAAGAACAAATAGCTAAATTATTGGCCGCCTGAATTGTGGAATATGAATGAAATGAGGAAGATCGTATAGCAAAAAAATTGAACATAGACAACTTACGGTAAAGTGACTGTTAACTTCAATTTTCGACTGTAAATGAATATGTCAATCTTATAAACTATTTATATATTCACCTAAGGTGATGAGACTCATTGAAAACAGCAATTTAGTAAAAGAAATGTATATCCATTTCTTTGAGGCTAAATGATTCCTAGATACCATCGTACAACGTTAAAATCGGCATATAGAAAGTAATGATCAATAAAGTTATCGATCATTGTCAGCTAGCAGGAACATATGCTGGGAAGCTTACTACATTCGATAGATCTATTTCGAACGTAGCTTTATTGATTGAAAAAAACTGGCACAGTCAGTCCGTTAAATGCAATGTATAACGTTGGAGATATGTACATCGGTCCAAATATATGCTTCAGAATGAGTCGGTCTTCTATTGAGCTTCTCTAACAGAGGCTGATTGCAATGTATTCTATTTGGGTCTACCGTTGAGTCGGTTGCCGTATCAGACGAATGCGTATATCGTGCTCATAGTTGGTGCTTGCTAGAAATAAACAATTGTCCGAGGATAGCTGCAGCAACCAGTCACCGTTATATGTTTGGTTTACTCATTCAATCTTTCCTATTTTTTTCACGGAATTTCCTCCGATTAGCCCTTTTATTTGACTACTTATTTATCAATGTGCTTATACAGTTTCTAGTTCTTGTTTTAGTGTTGATGACACTGGGGCTTATAGAAAAGGGGAACAACAAATATTTGTTACATAGTATTAAAGTTTACTCGTATACAGACATGTATACACTATGATTTCTCTCCACCTATCTAACAGCTTTACGCTATTTTCATAGCCCAAATCACCTAGCAATTTTGGTATATCCAAGTTCGACCAGCAGCGATCGAGTAGAGAACTGTCTATTCGGTACGTTTGTCAATGATAGAGGTTGGCATAGAATATCACGATCTACAGAGTAGAACTCCACCATAATATAAAGGAACACAACTGTAGTCGGACATCGAAAACTATATCTATGTGCCAAGAATCTGCTGAACGTTGAGTATTGTCTATAAATCGAGGTCTACGTCTGAAACCAGTCTAACATTCTCACATTCGCTCTTCATAAGCTCTAGTTAGGCGTCAAAGTATCATTGTAGATAATATTATAGACATTAAATTAGTCAAACTGATTTTGCTGTAATTGTCACAAAAGGATTTTTCCTTTCTTTTAAATTGGGACGATCAGCGATCGAAATTGTCAGATGAGATTACGCACAATTCACAGATTTTAGCTAAGGGCTCAGATCAAGTAACTGCTAAGACTGGACCACCATCCCCAAAAATCTCACGCTAGTCTATCAGGCTTCCGCTTGTTATAGATTGCTTATTGTTTCATTAAGTTTTGGAGGACTTGCATCAATTTGCCAGTAAGATCGTTAGGATACAGTGGATAACTGAAATGCGGTTTAAGGCCAATTAAACTGTTTCCTAAAGTGTTATGGCCATGACAACTAGAACTGATGTACGTACGTACGAAGTTCTACGTTGTTACTGACTGAAGACGTGGATAATGCACGCTTCAGAATGGGTGACAGTCTTATATCGAGCCTCTTCAACGATGGCTAACGGCAACGTGGGCAATTTAAGTCCATTGTCCAGTCAATTATATGGGTCGCAAATTCAGATGATGCTTTACTTATAATTAAAGTTTGTGCTTGCCGAAAAGACGGTTATCTGAGCACAATGACAGCAGGCTGTCACCATTATCAGTGTACTGAGACGTAGCATCGTAAGATCCGTCCCAAGTGCTTTTCAGTTTGCTTTAGTTTACATATTTCGGTACAAAATCACCTACCACTATCACCATATCCAAGCGTTTTGATTTTTGACGGAGTCTAGAAAGCTTCTCATAAAATTCGTCTATTATTTCATCCGAACTGTGATTAGTGGGGTCGTAGGCAGAGATGACGAGGAAAGTGTGATATCTTATCTTTCAGAGTTCCGACTATACTGCTCAGTCGGACAAACCACCAGTCTAGTAGAGCCTGTTCTGCTTTTCAACTTAATGCTATACCTACACCAGTTAGTTCATAGGAAGTAGCAATGCAGTCGCGGCGTACATCGATTGCGCAGAGTTCAGGAGTCCTAGGCAAGGAAGCTTGTTGTTCTATTTAACACAGGGTCTGAACATCAAGAGCTCCAACATGTGACCGGTTTCTAGAAACCAAGATCAACATTTCGTTAACTCCAGTCATTAGCATTGGTGGCACGTGGTGATAAAGATAAGTGAGAAGGGTTATATTTAAGGAAATAGCAGCTCACGTGCAATTGAGTACGTTCACATTTAATTTGGTTAAGCCCTTTTGTTAATTTATTTAACGGACAGAGTCATCCGTACTATAACAACTTATATCATTGTACCTTTATTATTGTTGCACTTGTATGAATATGTATGCCTGAGCATTGCTTACTGCCTACGCATATACATTCATTCTACTAGCCTTACTATTTTAGTCGCTTAATTGATTCGATGATTAATTCATTTCACTATGTATATATATGTACATTTTTATCATGTTCATTGACTCGCTGTAAATACTGGCTGTTCTGGAGGAACAAATAACTTCTACCACACCCTTATAGAGTCGGTAGTACAACTTCTTCCACACACCTTGGTTTGCTGTTTTTAGTCTTACCGCTCTCCAAACAGCCTGTCTGGAAAAGTAGGAGCTGCGGTTATGGAAAGAACATACTGTCTATTATAGGTCTAGCCACATGAGTTTTTGTTTTAATAATTTGCATAAGAGTACTGAACTAACGACAAATCTATGCCATTTTTACTATCAATGTTCTAAACAACAGAGGAGTGAAATTTGATCGTCATCAACAATCACGGAATCAGTTTGGTACGATGAAAGTGTCCTGTTGATGCTAATTTAAAACACAATGGTCCAGAAAACATCACAAGTCTTTAGACATCAGATACGTGGTTTTACTCACAGGTTACATGACTTAGAGTCTTCCCTAAGAAATATTTATCCTTATTGCAGATTTATACTTTCACAGTACGAAATTGACAATTAACACAGAAGTCTAACTTACTGTGTTTTCCATAAAAGTGAAAACACATTTACTACCACAATATGGTTTGAAGTATAGTGGCACTCACCCATGAGATTTGAAGAACTACGGAGAGTGAAGTCTGAATGTGTCCTAGTTTCTACTGGTGCGGAAGCTAGATGCATACCAATCAATTAACTGAGTTCCGAAGTGTGAACCGCAGTATTCAGTAGCTGAAATGAAAGTATCATAGACTAGAGAGCTCTGTCTTTGATGCCGCGATGTCTCGTTGGTGTGTACTTCGAAGGACTCCCAAGTTGGTCATAAAAACTTTATATTTATCAACGTAGAAGATCGCACATATTACCTAGGATACCAAATCACTGATTTATTGTCTTTAATTGGTCTCTCAGGACAATAACATCCTTTAGATGCGTAAGTAAATATGAAAACAGTAAAAATTGTTTTGGATGACGAATTAGTTTAGCTTTTATTAATTGGGAAAATGATATATTTCATCGGAGGAATTTCAGTCACATGACTTTAGACACACTTTTCCAAGAACACTCTGCGAGACTATAATTTACGGACGAACCAATCAGATTTGGGACAACAGGTCTTGGATTGTGGCGCATAATTCGTCCATCTATTTGGCTAAATAGAGTTTTGGTATTTCAGCTTATGTCAGTTCGTGATGAAAACTCTAAATCTAATTCCTCACGTTGGTTTATAACCATCATTTAGTTCCAGTTAATAGGTGGACATCCTCAACATCACTTTGGCGTCGCTCAAAGGTCGTCCATAAATTATAGTCTCAACTAACACTCAAACAAGTGAACTATTTAAGCGTGTCTACATGATTTATTCTAGTTTATCTATGACAAAGCTTTAATTTTTGAAGTCATGGGTACTACGTTTGGGCCTCAGTAAGGATAACAACAACTTACTATGGTTTAACGTAAATTCTGCTGGAGAGTCTCAAACAAGAAGAGACACGCGTTATGGGTTTTACTATAACACAAGTATCAAATGAAAAAGATAAAAATAAATGAAAACAAGCGCTCACTGCCACATTTGTAGGATCTAATTGCAGAACAGTTTCAAAGAACATTCTCGCTTCTTCATATTCCCCTTTACCAATCGATAACAACGCACTAAAAAATAAATATATACCACTATCGTATGACTATTTAACGAAGAGAAATATATACTTTACAGCAATTATCTAAAGTATAAATTAACATCGCCTGGAGCCCGTCAAGGGTTATTCATGATTCAAAGTCTGAATAAATGAAAAGTGATGGATGTTAAGTTAGAAATCTCACTTTGTAAACCAGAATCCCACTATAGGAAAGCTAATCAGAAAAACATGTAAGCCAATTAAACTTAACACTGAAGAGTATTTATACAGAAGAATTATTACGTCTTAGGGTAAAAGCTGAGACTCTTCGGAAACTAATGGGTCAACGGCTTTTTTAATAACCAGGTCAACAATAAACATACAGATAAAAATATAATAACAGTGTGGAAGACCGTAATGATCACTCAAACAGTGACGGAAATTATGAGATAGAAATTGGCTCTCCTTAGAATAAGTGAAACCTATTGGGCATAATCTGTACAGAGATATGTGCTGTGAGAGATGAAGCTGTATTATAGTAATGAAAGAAAAAAACGTGCTACACATATAGCTGGTTGTACTAATAATCTTCAAAGAAGCACAAAAGTGAGCATAGAATAAGATATCCTAGGAACCTGGATCATCGATGCCCGTTATGAAACAAAACGGGAAAGAAATAATGAATCTCATGCAACGTTACGCTTCCACTGATGATAGCAGCAAAGATAGTAAACACCAGTTTTATGAGCCTTAAGTTACTCGTAGAGAAAACGACTGAGGAAAAAGCTTCACAATCTTGATAGAGGACTGAAAAGTTGAGATCTGGATGGACAATACTGAGTGAGAAGGAAGTAAGAAATGATATAGACTGGTATAAATATTAGAATAACAAAGAACCATCAAACCAATAGACTTTCAAATACAAAACTACAGGATTTTCCAACGCACGCTTAAATTGCAAATTTTTATCTGGATATCCATACTTTATATTCTAATTCACTCACCACGTCAAGTTTGACATGCATGTTGTCGTAAAAAGTAGCGAATAGGAAGGTTCAAACTTTTCACGTAATGGGTCATAAACAGTACTGTTGTATAATTAGCTCAGCCAAATTGTTATTTCATTTAATCAGTCTAGTGCTATCCAATTAACTGTGGTTCTAATTGGTAGATACACGTACATATTCATGAATTTTATAAAAATGCTTAATTGTATTTTTTTTTTACAACCCGCATATCGAATGTTTATAACTGTGTAGTTTCAACAGAAGTCCGAGAGGATTTTTAACGTGAACTGAGGCAGATCCTTTGCCAAGATTGACCTAGCTGATACATATCTACAGATCGAGGTAGATGAATCATCCTGAAAATCAATTACAATTAATGCACATTGAGGTCTACGTCATTATGCTCGCCTTCCATTTGAAGTCAAGTGAGACCTCGGCACGTTTCAGCGAATTGTGGATGTAATGCATACAGATATATCAGGTATCTTAGCTTACGGGAATGATATTATAATTTTTGGTACAACCGCAGAAGAATTATTTAACCGTCTGGATATGGTACTCTTACATATTAAAGATTATGGTTCTAAACTAAAACAAGATAAACGTAACTTTTCCACCAATCAATCGCAACGAAAAATGATGTGATCCGGAGAATATTAAGTCTGTAAAGCAAAGAACATCATCATTCGGCCTTAACTCCCTACAACCATTCATGGGATCAGTTAATCATTATGCATCGCTTAATAAACTCTTGAGCGAAGAGACGAAATGGAACTGGTCTCCTTAGTGTCAAAACATCATTAAATATATTAAGGAAGTGCTGCCAATCAATATGCATCTAATATACTTTAGCCCTAACTTCAAAATAATTGTTGCCTCAAATGCATCGAACTGGGGACTCAAAGCTGGTATTTTTCACATTTCCCAGGATGTCTACCCAAAGGATATTGATTATGCATCCGAGAAAAACAGCCAAACAGAATAAATACTAGTAATCATTTTTTTCAGTCGAAAAGTTTTGTATTATCTATGGGTGACATTTCATAAACCTGTTCTATCAATCTGGTCCACACAATGTATTCCAGTGGTAGACGAAATTTCTTCTTAGTAATAATTTTACTATAAAATATACGTCAACGACCAGTCTTGGACAGACTGACGGACTATCAAAACTAATAGACCCGTCGATAAAAGTTGTGTTGTTGCCGCAATATTAGTTGAAGCAGAAGTAAACCGAGTTGTATCACATTTGACCTGTGTCTTGCTAGTAACGGTGAATATGCTCGAGGATGCTACACTGGCAGACTGTGAACTATAGCAGGTGCGTTAAGTGCACGATGGTCGAGTAAACAAAGTCAACAATGATTTATTAGAGAATTTTCGACGGCGTGATGCATTATCTATTACCAATTCATGCTCGCTGTTTGGAGGGCGTCTAGATGTCCAGACCACCCTCAGATGGCAAGTATTAAAGCAACTCCACCAATATCATCCTGACGTGGGACACATAAATATGTTATCACCCAGCTATGTATACTGGCCAATGATAGATAGGGTCATTGAGAATGTAGTAAACAAGTGTCTGCAATATGTTCAAGCAGTGTGCAAGGAAGAAATAAATGAACACGATAAGGCTTCATTGATGAATATCAGAAAATTTACTTATGAAAATTCTGTAGAATCAGTAATTGAAGTTTATAGCCCAGTGGAAATTCCGCATTAGGTAACGATCTGTCGAAAAGTGCTTTAGCCGTTTGCAAATCCCCAAACTAATAAAACATGAAGAAAACAAGGCGTAAAAATGGAAGAACATTGTATGAGAACCAATTAATGACTTATATGTGTGATCATTTGTAAATAACGATGAGCATTTTCTGAACAAAAAACATTTCTTTGTGTTACTTGATACGAATTCGTTTAGTTAATCTTTAAAGTAATTTCCATCAGTGAAGACTGGACCTATTATCGCCTAAATGAGACAAGTTTACATCATTATGGATTAATGTTTTTAAGACGTGAATTAGTAATTGAGAAAAGATGAGGTTTTTGTTTACTTGTTTTAGCTCAAGAACATGGGATAGTGATGTATGTAACACAAGTGGAATATGGGAAACATTCAGAAAACTGAAAATGTCATGTTAATCACAATAGAAGAGTAACCGATTAGTGACAACATACTATATACAACAATAGTAAATATAAAGAGAATTCTTTATCATCCTTATGGGTAATGGAAGATGCTGATAAAAAGTGTGATTCACCTTAGCAAGTTACCATAGCTGTATCGCTCAGTATAGAAGGTAAATAATTTCACAAACTAGTATAATAACACAAGGGCATAAGTGAACAATTTAACCAACATATCTTAGAAGAAATAGTTAAAACTGTATCTATTCAATGGCTCATCTTCAAAAAGTAAGTTTAAACGTATCATATGACAGACACCACATAGTACTGGATTCTGTAATGCTTGGAACGTATTTATGATAGTTGAAACATCTGTTCTTTGTTTTTGTTTTGAACAAATGCCCTGGTACGGCCGAGAGTGGGGAGAGTCCACTCTCCCTCTCGAAATGCTCTCACATGGCCACGCGTATATAGCCTCTGCTAGGGAAGTCCTACTCACTACCTTCTCGGGGCGGGGGTGTTGTTTACGAAAATGAGAGGACGAAAAGCGAATGTCCGGCGCTTTAATCGGATCCCAAACCAATGGTGTACACGGGTTCCAGTATTCTGAGGGAACAAATGGCGTATGAACCAATTGTTGGTCACCGGCTTCCATGGGACTGCATCTCCTTACGATGCTCCACTGCCTTATGGATCAGGCCTTCAGGTCGAAGGCTCGGGGAGTGGCCCCCTAAGGAAGCCACCTGCTTCGGTTTGGGCACCCGGGCAGTATCACAGCCCTCACACATATCGAATGGGATTTGTGTGGCACATATGTATTTGGTGCCTCCTTGTACCAATGTCTATGTGTTAAAATAAATAAGTTAAATGTACGTTTGTTCTGAGTATCTGGGTCCCACTTCCGTCAACCCAGATATAGAAGAAACGATTTAATAAAAACGTTTTACTTAACTAGAATAAATAGGGGTTTCTCGACAGCTGGGTTATTTCATGGTGCTTATCATTTTAAGGTTGCAGATCTCCTCATAGAGCTAAGAGCCCTTTTATTTTTTACTAATGTATTTATCACCAATCTTCATTTAGCATGTCATGTTGGCGGGACATTCCAAGGGTTATGAGAATCTGAAAGGTGGAGACAATTTAACAACGAGCGTTTTGTGATAAGAATGTCAAATAAATGAGGTTACTCAATCTTTCCTGTCTTTTATTCGAGAATATAGTGGGCTTTCGGAACATTCCAATCAATTTCAAACGAAACTACTCTATTCACCCATTTTTGAATGAGATTATAGCTAAAGCTGCTTAACCCTCAGTACAACAGTCCTAATGGTAAGCCGAGTCGATACTGCAAATGCTCTCCTTATTAAAAAAAAACACCTACCTGCAAATGAACACGACCAAGTAAACTACAGAATCCTCTAAGCACAACCTGATTATCACTGCATAGATGTGTTAATTGACGTACTATATTTAGTGCTGATTGATAATCTAACTTATGTAGAAATATTGATAAACAGCTGGAAAGTACCCGAATTTTACGAGCAGTCCATAAATTTAATGAGGCTAGATACAAAAGGAAACAATCATATTCTGAGATAAAGTTCGACAATTACTCTTTAATGGTACACAAGTGACAACAGGAGCCCTAATTAGAAATTTACAAGTTGAACTGCTGATCAATGAGGTAGAAGTTTACCTAACTCAGATTATTCTGTCACGTAGTTTGATCCAGGCTGTATTTCGAAGTACAATATCGTTGAGTAGTTAGGCCAAAGTTAAAAATCACCCTCACTGTATGACTAGAGCACATTTATGATATAACTTACATTTGTTGTTTAATTTAATCTCTCTATGAATTTGAATGGTAATGTCATTCATAATAACAGTAACAATTAAACAACGAAAAATAAGAATAATGTTTGAAAATATGGACTACTGAAATCTAACTCATTCAGTGAATAAGGTAGTGTTCACTGCAAAACTTGGAGTTCCTGAGTTCAAGACCATGTGCACTCGTTAGTGCTCACCATTGAGGAGTTTGAAGCTCGGATGAAAGTTTTTTATCTCTCCCATTGTTTCTCGCTGATTCTCCGGTTTAATGTGTCAGTCTGTTACGAAAACTGGCTTCAAGATTGCACATAAACCAATAGGATAATTACCACACTCTTGAATATTTTGGATCCATTAGGAACTGTTTTAGAATAATGTGACAGGTGACTATAAATCACAATCAATATATAGTATCATAGTTGAGTATATATGACGATATATATATATATATATAGTTCATTGTAGTATAAAATATTCATACCTTGTCGGTAAACAAGATCTGGTTCACTTATCGAACCATCCTCTCTAAAGCCTTTCTCTAAATTACTTTGAATCTAGAGTTAGAAAAAAGAAACTAAACTGGAAATTAATTTCTAAAAAAAATATGACAAATAATGGGGCAAATCGCACAAAACTACACTAGTTAGACTGCATAATCTCCATCATTTACACCACCTCACTCAGGAAGTAAATAATTCTTAATACGTCGCACCAATAACTCAACAACTTAACAGGTTTTAACGTCACAACTGGGTCTAGCTTTTCTCCTAACTATTCACGATCCTAATGCTTGAAAGTGTCTAGACTGATTAAACCCCACATATTTTAAATTAATGGATAATAAAAACTGCTTTGATTACTGTTCGTGAAAGAAGAGACGAAACAAAGTTTCTAATAGTAGCGATCTTAAATAGGGGATCCCAAGATCATAAGCTGATCATACTATAAGTATTCAACTTTAAAGAATCCTGTTACACACACGTAATTTAGTTTTAACAGAAAGGTTGTATTCTCAAACGTCACACATGCATGATTCTAAAGTGAGCACATAAACACAAGTTGGATGAGGACAGAATACCATTATAGAAATTCTCAGAAGGGTAACGTAATGAACAACACAATAGAAATTTTCAGTCAAGTGAACGTGGGTTATCCATAAAATGAAGATATGGTTAAGATTGATAGTGGCTAGCAGTGGAATCCGGGACTCGAGTTTCTTCCTATTTGGGACCTGGTAGCTGGACGTACCTGCATTCCAGAGTTAATGTTCACTCTGGTACTCGAACCCAGTATCGTTCGCTTCAAACGCCATCGCGTTATCCACTTAGCTACTGAGTCCAGATAGCCACTTGCTTGTGCAATGGGGCGAAGTTTAAATTTACTTAGTATTGTTTACTTGAATCTTACCACTGATGTTTAGGACTGCAACTGATCAGTAGCTAAGTGAGTAACGCGATGGTGTTTGAAACGAACGGTACTAGGTTCGAGTCCCAGAGTGGACATCAACTCTGGAATGCAGGTATACCCAGCTGACGAGTCCCAAATAGGACGAAACGCGAGTCATGCATTCCACTACTAGCCACTAACCATCTTTGCTTAGAATATTTGTGAATTAAGGCAATGCACACAGTATGCATAGATGCCAATAAGAGACTGGTCAATTGCACTCTTAAACATCAATGGGAAGACTCAGGTAAACAATACCAAGTGAATTTGAAGATGTGGTTGTAATATATTTAGCCAGCAAGGTTCAACAGAGTGAATTTTTGATGAACTTATACTCTTCCTTCAGTAAAATCATTTCTCACTAACCAAGATTCAAAACCGTGTCAAAGACTAAATGCCGACCAAGTGTACAACTTTTTAGTAAAAAGACTTAGTTATTCAAACTAAACTGGTAGTAATTCAAATACATACTTGACAGTTTGAGGAAATGAATTACTTAAGTGATTAATACCAATAAGTTTACACGCATACATTTAAACAGTATAAACCTTTTTATGATTTGGACATTGCTCTAGTTAGATCACAAATGACTTTTAACAATGGGTGGGTATTTTGACGGTTTGTGGACAAATTTAGTGGTCACGTTCTCGGAAATAATCAACAAATCATGTAGTAAACAGGGTTGCAAGATCTATATCAAAATTTTCGATAGTCTAGCCAATGAGAGGAATTTCGGATTATGATTCGGACAACTAGACTCTTTGAGATGATTTCCGGCGAGTATTCTGTAATCAGTCATCGTTATCTTCGAAGGACTACATATATACGATTTCACTACTGTGTAAGTAATGCCGAGAACCAGTAACATTTATAGTATACCATATATAATTTCTCAAATAATTATAATCTTGAAATACCCTATTCGGCCACCTAGATACTTTTCATGCATGCTGCCCCCTCCAAATGTTATTCAAACCACACATTGTTTTCCTGACACTAAAAAGCTGAGACAATCAGTTTACGATAGAGAACCGCAGGAAGAAAGGTTGATGTGCTGGGCCGATACTTATAGATTTATCGTGAATACATAGGCAAGGTCTTACATACCGTGCAACTCAGTGACTTGAGGTGTCATCAACCTGACGAGTTTCCTGAAGGTTTCTGCTAGTTTTATTACAAACAGCAAGACTTGTAAATAAATGAAATCTACCTTGGTTTTGTTCTTTATCGAACTCGATTATTCGGTATATCTTACTTACGTTTTTGAATTGTATCTCTCTAATTCGTCATGATATTGTAAGTTCCTTTGACGTGGTGTATTTCTGACACAGTAAGTATATACACACGTATGTGTACTTATCCATCTAATGTATGAGGAATGTAGAGATACTGCACGGTGAAATAAAAGTAAATACAGTTGTTATTACTAGACTTTAAGTCGAAGCATAGTTAAGGGGTCAACAATAAAGACTAAAATAAGTAGCACTTCATCAAAAAATTTCAACCAATTGCAAATAAACGTACTCGACCAATAATAGCTAATAAGTAATATAGACGATCTAATGCTTCATTTGTACGATTTAAATTAAATGGTAATTCAGCATGAAGTAGTCTTAAAGAAAATGGAATGATAGAACCTAAGAGGAGAGAAAAACAAAAATGATCAAAAGTGCAGTTTTAAAGTAATAAAAAGTACAAGAGCACAAGTGATATAGATTCGCTTCAACAGCACTAGTCTTTGCGTTTGAGCGAATGATAACGATCTATGAACTCTGTTCACAATCTCGTCTAGAACGTAAGTAGTACAATATTTTCGAAACATTTCCGCAAATTGACATTTAGTAATATTTTGTATTTGATTAATATTGTGTGAGTTAGAATTAGAGTTAATTAGGTGATTACAATTCACTCATGACTGAGCAAACAATCAAGAACGTACCACGAGAATAATTCAGACTCATATGGTAAAACATGAAGGTGATTGGAATTATTAGGATTACAACTGATATGATTCATCAACCAGACTATTAAAATCAACCCAAATTATTCAAGTACCAAACGTAGTATCGCTCATGCTCAACAGCAATTTCATGTTAGTAACACTAAGGTTGAGTAAGGTGTTTCTGACTAGAAGTGTTATGGATGCAGAATAATCTACCAATCATTATCATGTTAAGTCTAATGATGTCCTTAGACTTTAAATGTACATTTACTATTGGCCATTATTTATTTCACTCGTTAAATACTGTACAGATGTTGTTTTCTATTTTTATGGTACGATGTGGTCTGTTTGGTTGGTATATAAATAGAGTATGTCTGAAATACAATGATTCATATCTCAGAGGCTGTGACTTGTGTTCTGGACTCAACTGGCTGGGTTAGACTGCGAAGCAGGACCAATCGGGACTCTAGGTCGTCCGTGCGTGTTTCACGTGTCACTGAATCGATCAATAAAACGCTGTCCATCTAAACTGCAGTCACCTGTTACAACAAGAACCAAAGACATCATTGAACGTTCAGGGACCAAATAAAACAATAGTTCCGAAAGAGTGAGTACAATTCATAAATACTACTTTAACACCATTGATAGCGGATATAGTCTGTTGATACATCAACGAGCTAAAAAGACTGAGATTATCTCATAATGTGGTACAGTATGCTGAAATACAATTATTTTAGATAAGCACCAAATGATAACAATTTTAACCTGCAGATGAGTTGAGAAATCATGCCAGTTACTTACTTGTTATGAATTGAATAGAGAGTGGTAACCTATTCGTTAAAGCACTTAGATTTCAGTTAACAAACTAAAGGTTCGAACTTCACCCCAGCTACCCCACTGGACAGTTGGATAGCGTTATATAGAAACTGTGACAGAAAAACTCTTTACGTGAATATGTGCCTCGTTAATGAGCTACATTAATTGCCATTGTGCAGATTTGTAACCGATAAAAAATTCATTCCTATCGAATTTAAACGGTAAAATAATATAAAACGAAAAACAACGCAAATGTAGCATACACATATATATTGGAATGACGGAGATTCGCAGCTCAGGTCAGTGGTTTTGGTGGAGTTGTGTTCTCTGAGCTTATTGTTAACAAGATCTTTAGTGTCCACTTCATGTAGAGGTGAGCTAGTCCAAAAATTTCATATCAGCTTAACCCCACATATATTACAGAGAAGTAAACAGTTTTAAAAAAAAGACTGAAAAGAAGAACACCTTCATCGTACCAGGAGACAAACGATGGATAACAGTATTTATGAATGAAGAAAATTACATTCAGAAAGCTGAGGACCTAATCAAAGATAACAATGCATACGAAACGCTAGTGAAAAATTCTATTAAAGAATAGACAGTCTAATGAATAAAACTCTAGGAAAACTCGTCAAAGGCGGATAAACTACAAACCAACACCAGTGACGAAGAAGATATGATGGACTTATTTTCCTTGATTTTACAGAAGACCGAAGTTGCACAAACCCAATGTACCATTTTAACCATCCATGTCAACACCAGAGATACCAGCCTACCATATGCTAAAAAAGCTCTACACGATAGTAGAACATCTGGCTGGATTGTACAATCATTCGGTCAACTCCTCAACACAGTTCTGAAACAAGATCAAAAATTTACAACTGACCAACGACGAAGTAACAATGACCTTGGATTTTGCGGTTCATTTCACTTTAGTAAAAGCGAAGCTCATTACAAATACAATATCAAGACTTCTCAGCAACGATGAACTCATAGAACACAAAAATATAGTACTCAAAATTGACAGAATTCACAGATCTGTTTCTTGAACGTACTTCCAATTCAGTAGTCAGATTTACTGACAAATAAAAAGGACTACTATGAGGTACCCTATATCAGGACCAATCACAGATTATTATTATTATTTTAACACATAGATATTGGTACAAGGAGGCACCAAATACATATGTGCCACACAAATCCCATTCGATATGTGTGAGGGCTGTGATACTGCCCGGGTGCCCAAACCGAAGCAGGTGGCTTCCTTAGGGGGCCACTCCCCGAGCCTTCGACCTGAAGGCCTGATCCATAAGGCAGTGGAGCATCGTAAGGAGATGCAGTCCCATGGAAGCCGGTGACCAACAATTGGTTCATACGCCATTTGTTCCCTCAGAATACTGGAACCCGTGTGCACCATTGGTTTGGGATCCGATTAAAGCGCCGGACATTCGCTTCACCAATCACAGAAGCTGTAATGAAAATATTTGAAGCTACAACTTTGTTAATGATCAAGCCAAAGATTTGAATACGTTATGTAGATAACAAATTTGTTATCTTCAAAAGTAACAAACCTAAGAATACTCATAAGTTAACCGACAACATATTCGATGTTACAAGTACAAAGGATATGGGAAACAAAATATTATTCCTGAACGTTCTAATCAACGGAGAAAAACTAGTATGCAGGGAACCAAGTCATACAGTAACAATGTGGCAACATGCTAAAAGTTGTGTCCAGACACTGACCAAAAGAGTCTAAGCCAACTGCAGCACTCCCACCACATGAAAAATTTAGGAAAAGCATCTGTTAGTCTTTCATAAGAATGGCATTCCCGAAAAATTCACTAAAAAGTGCCTAATCAATAGATATATCGTTAAGTAACCAATCCCGGAAACCGAGAAACAAGTTGTGCTACCGTATGTGAAAAATATCTCTGAAACTGTCATAGGGATTCTGGAGTCTTTTGAGATCGATGACGTTCAGAAACTAACACAACCACACTATGGACGCCAAAAGACACAACAGTAAAAGAAGGAATACTCAATACCCTCTACAATATAAGTTATACTCTGAAGAATATATTAAAAAAAGTGGACGCCTCCTTCACCTACCCATAAATAAACAGTAAGGTGATACGATATATCATTGATGATATCAGTGCATGCAAATGATTATGTATATAGAGACTATTAGAGAAACGACGAAATCAATCACAAGGCCAGAGATCAACGGCAAAGATAGTCAAACAGAAAACCGAGAGCAGGTGAAAACAGAAAAATCAACCAAGACAGCCAATCACAAGCAAAGCCATCAGGACGAGCTGACATAGCACCTGTGAAGTAACTTCTACATGAAATAGGCGCTTAAGATGTCAAGAATGAAATTGAAAGCTCTGCGACTAAATCATTTAGCTCAATGAACACAACACCCCTATAAATAAATATATATATATATATATATATATATATATATATATACTTCAGTACCTGTCCGTCCAGGATATCTTTGGGGAGAATATTCAAAATAGAAATTCGGTGCTTCCATGTTATGAAAAGTAGCAAATTCATGTTCAGCCAATTTATAATTTTGCGTACGAACTAATAAGGCCAATCGACACAACCAAATCTAAAACAAGCAATCAACAAGAACAGTAGTGGTTAATTATTATTTTCATAACATTAATACATGGAGAAAAATATGCAATCTATCTTGTAATTCAAAAATTCCCAAGTCATATGTCGTTATTTATTTACAACACATTGGCTTGTTACACAACTATCAGTCGTTCAGCTGAACCAAGTCACTAGCCTCAGTCAGTAGACAACGCATAGTACGGCAGTAATTGGAACAAAATGAGTGCCATGAGCTCAGGTCATCACCGTAAACATATAAAAATGAATTAATCAGATGAATGATGGACTAAATTGAGTCCAAACACATGTCATACTCCATGATTTTCTATATATTATTATCACTGAATGGAATAAATTCTTCGGAAATAGTAATTACACACACCGCTATCAAAGGTTTTGAGCTAAAAGAGACCATATTTGCAAGTATGAAATATAACTGAACATTCCGTAGTAATACACACCAATTTTTTTACGACCATACAACAATTATGATGATGCAATATATGGCTCAGATTGCAAAAAGAAGTCTTAAAATGTTTTAGAAGGATTGAATTTGTTCTCCTTACTAGTATTGACAGTCAAACGACCATCCAGATATATGAACCTTTACATTATTTTCATAGCCCCACTATCGAAGATGATTGAAGGCAAATGTTCTCGCCAGTTTCGTGGAAATAACAGCTTTCGACAGTGTTTCATCGAAAGAATTGTCAATAAAGTGAGTCAATTTATTAAAGATTCTTTATTAAAATGATATAAATCGTACCAGTGGAATTGCTGGCATCAAATGTTATTTGTTATGGCTGTCCAACTTATCTATTTTAACCTAACTGTCAGAAACTCTTGAAGAAGACTCATTAAATCTAAAACTTCATTGGAACTATGAACCGATAAATGTTAGATCACTCATTGAAAACCTGAAAGCACTCGACGGCTGTGTCAACGACCTCAACCCCATACTGTAAATCTAAAATGTTGGTTCAGAAGGAACTTGTGTTCATGCTTAACCTTAAAACAAGTAGTGAAATTGTTAATTTGATAACTTTGGCTATCGTTGGAGCCTCAATTGAGTACATGGTACCAATCTATAAAATCGGAGACCGCTGGTTTGAGATATGTGAAATATACACTTCGTGAAATAATAGTAAACTGTGGTGGAAATCCCTAGGTAATTGCTTAAAATCAGTCAACGTGGTATAGTTGTCCTCACTCTCTATCTTCCTCTCTACATATTGGGTCTTAATATTATTTCATTTCATTGAGTCTTTAAATCAAGTAGTTTCTTGTTAACTATACTTCATACACTTAGTATTCACTAGCAATGATATTATCTCAACTTTTATACCATAAATTTTGTTAATTCCATTTGAATATGTTCACTTGAGATATGGTAACTTATTTATTTATTTATTTGAACACATAAATATTGGTACAAGAGAGCGCCAATATATATGCGCCACACAAAACAATGGGAATTCGAAAAGAAAAAAAAGGTAAGGAGCGTAAAAAAAGAGGACAATAACGAAGAGATTGGTGGTAGTAATGAGGGAACGGAAAGGTACAATCGGAAGAACTCTTTCAGTTAAGGGAGACATAACCACTTTTTATGAAGAAAGTAAAAGGTTACAGCAGGATCGCCACTGGCTTCTATTCTGAGCCATATCTGATAACTTGAACCGATACATAATTGTATCACGTCCCACATTGTCTATGGCTGACTAAAAATACATTTCGATGGTGCAAATGTAATTTTTGCGGGCGGCGATTATCAGCTGATGACGTGGAGTTTGGGTGACTTGTATGCCAAAGAATAATAAAGCGATATTATCTATCAACTCAAGACTATAAATATGTCTATTTAGTCAAGGGTTTTGAGTTGAAACTATTTACTTTGATACTAGATTAATGTTGTGTAATGAAGGTTTTCTGTAACATAAACTTAGAATCCACTCTTATTAACAAAGGCATATGGCACATAAAAAATCAAATAATTTTCCGAAGACCAAAGATACTACTAGACAGCCGAAATCAAATGTTTGATAGGCTCAAGTCTGAAGTCTAGTGCCTGATAATCCTGTCTTTTATCCACAAAACTACCACCCCATTATCTAACCATAAGAAGGAAAAGCATGAAAAAACAAACGAGCAAAAAATACGGCCCCAAAGAGTGAAAAGATACAAGGAAGATTAAACTAAGCATATGCTAGCTAAGAATGCATGTAAATTTATGAGAGATAAAGAAGCATACAGATTTCTAAAGAGGTGGATGGTGGCTAGCAGTGGGGTTTGAGACGCGCATTTCGTTCCATTTGGGACTCGTCAGATGGATGTTCATGCTCATCCCGTGACTCGAACCGATGCATTTCGCTTCAAACGCCATCGTGTTATCATCCAGTTGGCGACTGAGTTCAGATAGCCTATGGTTTGAGTAATGGGGTGAATTTTGATTCTCATTCATATATACATTGGTTGTTTCGATTTTCCCATCGATGTTCAGCACTGCAATTGATCAGTCCTGAAAGTGATGGGTTCGAGTCTCGGAGCGAACACCGACTCTAACATGCAGGTACACCCAGCTGACGAGTCCCGAATGGGACAAAACACGCGTCCTGGATTCCACTGCTAGTCGCCATCCATCTCCGTTTATGCTTTGTATGTTTATGACTTGCTAGGAATATAAAGGCAACCCGCACAGGATGCACATATGTTGTGAACGAAAACACAAATAGGGAACAACTAATCGTATTTCAATAAAAAATTACAAAATGTCTTTGTAAAACATGAGAACCATACATTGAATACTTCATTTGCAAATTTCCATCATCCAACCTCAGCATTCTATATGATTCTTACTATTCGTAATTCCTTTCTATTTAACTTTTTTTATTCTCTTCAGCTTGATCTTCTTAGTCTTCTACTGCCAGGGCTTCCACTTCCGATGGGTGTTATATACTACTTATGTCGACGGACATAAGTAGCATACACCGAAAAGATTGATTAACTTAAGTCTTAAACATCAGCAGGAAGATCTAGACAACCAATATATATATATATATATATATATATATATATATATATATATATATATATATATATATATATATTAAAAATACAAATTTCTATTCAATAATATGAAAAGGCACACTTATATAATGAATCGGCTATTATATGATCCAGATGACAGAGAGGAGGCAAAATAAAAGGGAACGTCAGTTGAAACTTATGATAAATAAAAATGATAAATTGAGTTATTCGGTGAATATGCAATGAAACAAAACCATATATCAGAGGAAATAAAAAACTAGTCATTTACGATCAATTTAAATTGAAGCCGAATTGATTAAGAATAATCAAAATACATACAATAAATATATTTTAATCCAGTGATATTTTACAATTCAAATAATTTTAATAGGTGATATATTTACACGTTAAAGTAATCTATGTTACAACAATAGCACAATGTTTACCTGAGCAGTATATGGAGATAAAACGGCCTCACTTTCGTCATTTTTAAAACCAGCAGCTGAAAGAATACGATAAGTAAGATTCAGTGCACAAGTATACCATCCATTGTTCTAAGAGAGAAAAGAAACAGATGGAGATGGTGGATTCTTGAATTTTCAATGTTATAAACACCTAGTGTATTATACCTTAAGCCAATAAAGAACTTCGATTTAATTCAGTAATGAGACAGAAGTACGTGTATGCAGTTTTGAGTTATCTACTGTAAGCCAGGGCTAATAATACTATGAGGTTACCCAAACATAAGTATGTGGGATGAAGTTTAGGCCTAGAAGTCAACCAACTGTTCCACGAACAGAAAGCTGAAACATAGCAATTAGCTGGAGAGGAATTTCGTTTAAATTAAAACCTCACCCAAATACATATAATATTATATATGAGCATCTATACATACATTAAGTCATATGAAACCAAACAGTTTGTGGACAAAAAATTCGTTTTTGTTTGTAGCGACGTCAAAGTATTCTTATTTTTGTTGAGACGCATGAAATATTGTTGTCGGATAAATACTACGACAAGAGTTGCATGATAACTAACGATAACCTGTTTCCACCGAGAAGTCCTACAACAGAACTAGCAAAGAATTATTAGCAGTTTATTTAGCTACTAAACACTAAGTATGCCTTACAAGAAAACGCATTCACAGAGGTTCTGGAACACGTAGCCCTTTGTAAAGAATATCTACAAGCCAGGGAAACTACTGTCAATAAAGCAGAATGATAACTCAATGATATAGTATAGTTCGCTTTTGACAGGTGATACATTAAAAGTAGTAGACATCAAGTTGTTAATAAATCTTAATTATCAAATATCAGATCCACTCTTGATATAATAGATGTAGGAATCAGGCAACCATAGTTATCAAACTTATTAGAGGTAGACTAGCGTCATAGAAAGATCAAAATGTGCAAATAGGCTATCCTTAAGATAATGCAATTGCTAACTGAATTGTTCATACGAAAATGTTAAATCAATCAAGGCAATATGGGTCAATAATCACAATGAAATATAATAATAAGTAAAAATACAAGTTGATAGTAGGAAGACAGGTGTACTGATAGTAGTAAGAATGATAAAATACGATAACAAAAGTCATATCAATAGTTAAAAGTTGGAAATAGAAGGTCAAACGTGGGTAAATAGACTTGGAATAGTCATCACAAAACATTAAAATCATTACGTAATAAGAAGCGTGTAAATAATTAGATAGTGAAGAATACAAACGGCAAGAAGCAGAGAATTACAAACAAATACTAGATGTGAAAACAAGGCTAATGATAACAAAGATAGAATAAAATAAATAAATAATAGCAATAATAATAATAAAACCATTTCGAGTGATCTATCGCATACCTCCATCATTTCCCAACGGAGTTCGTTCGCGCCTCCTACATATAGCTGAAGTTATAGGATTTCGTACATATAACCTCAATTTATGTGTACAGAAGAAGTTCGTAACCCCCCCTACCCCTTCCATGACCAGTTCTAACTTAACTAACAATTTTATTAATTATTATTGTTATTATTTATTTATTTTATTCTATCTTTGTTATCATTAGCCTTGTTTTCACATCTAGTATTTGTTTGTAATTCTCTGCTTCTTGCCGTTTGTATTCTTCACTATCTAATTATTTACACGCTTCTTATTACGTAATGATTTTAATGTTTTGTGATGACTATTCCAAGTCTATTTACCCACGTTTGACCTTCTATTTCCAACTTTTAACTATTGATATGACTTTTGTTATCGTATTTTATCATTCTTACTACTATCAGTACACCTGTCTTCCTACTATCAACTTGTATTTTTACTTATTATGTGTGGTGACCTATTATATTTCATTGTGATTATTGACCCATATTGCCTTGATTGATTTAACATTTTCGTACAAATATTCATGTATATTAGAGTAAAGCCTGATGGCAATCTAATTGAAAACAATTGTTCGCTTATATGTGTTGTTCTGATTTTCACAGTGGGAATCTTTAATAACTGAATTGTGATATGCACCCCATTGAAGAGTTAACAACTTACAATTAATTTTTTGAGATCATTACCACTTTGACTCCTCAGTTCAATAGATGGAACCCGTTGGATTGCATTAACGTTTGGTTCATCGCCCGTATACTGAGCCAACAAATAATGGAATGGATCAAAAGCAGAAGTGCTACCACTACCGCCAATCTCATAATCTTTGCCCATGAGAATAGGTTTTACCTCAACTAACTTGTTTTCGGGACTTGGACTCAATAATGCTTTTTGAGTAGATTCAGAAGGCAACCAGGCATCTCGTTGTCTTAGACGGTTCAAACTCGTTACATCTTGTTTAGGATCCAACTGAGAGCATTTTGATAGATCAGTATTGCTAGGTGATTTGGGCTATGAAAATAGCGTAAAGCTGTTAGATAGGTGGAGAGAAATCATAGCGTATACATGTCTGTATACGAGTAAACTTTAATAATTAAAATAACCCATAGTGTCATTGAATAAGAAAAAGAGAATTCAGCGAAGAAAATTTTCTTTTCGACGAAATCATTTACTTAAGCTGTACATTCGTATATATAGTTATATGGAAAATGTATGTCTATAGAAGGATAGAAAGGATTGTATCACAAAAATGGATTCGACAATAAATAACAAATGAGGTTAACGTACTAATCAAGGGGTAAGGAAGAACAAAATTTAAGGGTCTGATAATAGTCCAATTGACAGATTGACAGATATGAAGAAAAACGAACAAAACAACAAAGGTCATAATAATAAACTGAATGATAATCAAGAAAACTTGTAAAAGGTAATAATAATAAATGATTAGAGTTTAAAGTGCAAAATAGTAATTTAAAATATGGATAATAATAAAAGTGCATTAAAAAAAACACCTAGAAACATACCCATTAAGGCCAAAGAAGGATAAGAATGTACAGCTTAAGTAAATGATTTCGTCGAAAAGAAAATTTTCTTCGCTGAATTCTCTTTTTAACTCCGCCTGTAGCTCTTCTAGAGTTACTGCCGGTCCCAAGCCCGGGTAAAGGAGGAGGGTTGGGCATGGGGTTAGCGTCCCCATCCCGTAGAAAACTAACTCGCTAAAAAAACGCTTACCAGAAAAAATAATTCAAACCATTTTAACTCTTCCCTGAGAGTTAGAAGGTCTTCATTTAGAAGAATTATGACGCTTCATGGTGAAAGCCGAGTTCCTTCGGAAGCCACGAGGCCGATGCCCCTTCTAACAACCAGAGCAAAAATTTTTATAGGTACATGGAACGTCCGAACAATGTGGGAAACCGGGAAGACCAGTCAAATAGCAATGGAAATGAGGAGATACAACTTAGCAGTACTGGGGATCAGCGAAACTCACTGGACCCAAGCTGGACAGAAAAGACTAGCTACGGGAGAGATGCTGCTATACTCCGGTCACGAAGAGGAAAATGCTCCACACACTCAGGGAGTTGCTCTAATGCTGTCCAAAGTAGCACGAAATGCACTTGTAGGATGGGAATCCCACGGATCCAGAATCATCAAAGCATCATTCAAAACAAAGAAGGAGGGGATCTTAATGAATATTATCCAATGTTATGCACCCACCAATGATAGCAACGACGACATTAAAGATCAGTTCTACGAGCGGCTGCAGTCAGTCATTGAGAAATGCCCAAGAAAGGACCTCACCATTCTAATGGGAGATCTAAATGCCAAAGTCGGAATAGACAACATCGGATATGAAGATATTATGGGGCAACATGGACTGGGAGAGAGGAACGAAAATGGAGAAAGATTTGCAAATTTGTGTGCATTCAACAAATTAGTCATAGGAGGCACAATATTTCCACACAAGCGTATACACAAGGCTACATGGATCTCACCGGACCACACTACAGAGAACCAGATAGACCATATTTGCATCAACAAAAAATTCCGAAGGACAATGGAAGATGTGAGAATCAGGAGAGGAGCTGACGTAGCTTCAGATCACCACCTAGTTGTAGCCAATTTGAAACTGAAGCTAAAAAAGAACTGGACAAGTGGACAAACAGCAATACAAAGGTTCAATACAGCCTTCCTTCGAGATACTGTCAAACTCAATGAATTCAAGATAGCTCTCAACAACAGGTTCCAAGCCTTACAAGATCTACTGAAAGAAGAAGAAACTACTATGGAGGACAACTGGAAAAGCATCAAGGAAGCATTAACTTCAACGTGTCAAGAGGTTCTCGGTCTAAAGAAATACCATCATAAGGAATGGATCTCTACAGAAACACTGGACAAGATCAAAGAAAGGAAGAACAAGAAGGCAGCAATAAACAACAGCCGAACACGAGCAGAGAAAGTCCAAGCACAAGCTGAATACATAGAAGCAAACAAGCAAGTGAAGAGGAGCATTAGAGCTGACAAGAAGAAATACGTGGAAGAATTAGCAACGACGGCAGAAAAAGCTGCTAGAGAAGGAAATATGAGACAACTTTACGATACAACGAAGAAACTAGCAGGGAAATACAATAAACCAGAGAGGCCGGTCAATGACAAGGAAGGCAAGCCAATCACTGAAATTCAACAACAGCGTAACAGATGGGTAGAATACTTTGAGGAACTCCTGAATAGGCCGGCTCCTATGAATCCACCGAACATCGAAGCAGCACACACAGATCTTCCTATAGATGTCAACCCACCAACGACGGAAGAAATTAGAGCGGCCGTCAGACAAATCAAGAACGGGAAAGCAGCAGGACCCGACAACATACCAGCTGAAGCACTGAAATCAGACATCGAAGCAACCACAAGCATGCTTTACCTTCTATTCAAAAAGATTTGGGAGGAGGAACAAGTGCCAATGGACTGGAAAGAAGGGCACCTCGTCAAGATTCCAAAGAAAGGAGATCTGAGCAAATGTGAAAACTACAGAGGCATAACACTACTGTCAATACCAGGGAAGGTCTTCAACAGAGTTTTGCTGAACCGGATGAAGGATGCAGTAGACGCTCAACTTCGAGATCAACAAGCTGGATTCCGTAAGGATCGGTCGTGCACAGACCAAATTGCAACACTACGGATCATCGTCGAACAATCGGTTGAGTGGAACTCGTCACTATACATCAACTTCATTGATTATGAAAAGGCATTTGACAGTGTAGATAGGAGGACATTATGGAAACTTCTTCGACACTACGGAATTCCTGAGAAGATTGTCAATATTATCCAGAACTCATACGACGGACTACAGTGCAAGGTCGTGCATGGAGGACAGCTGACAGATGCATTCCAAGTAAGGACCGGGGTCAGACAAGGCTGTTTACTCTCTCCCTTTCTCTTTCTTCTGGTGGTCGACTGGATTATGAAGACCTCGACATCTGAAGGAAAACACGGAATACAATGGATAGCTCAGAACCAATTAGACGATCTGGACTTCGCAGATGACCTAGCTCTCCTATCACGTACACACGAACAGATGCAGATGAAGACAGCCAGTGTAGCAGCAGTCTCTGCATCAGTAGGCCTCAGTATACACAAAGGGAAAACGAAGGTCCTCAAATTCAAAGCGGAAAACAGCAATCCAATCACTCTTGATGGCGAAACTCTGGAAGATGTAGAATCCTTCACATACCTGGGAAGCATCGTCGATGGACAAGGAGGTTCAGATGCAGACGTAAAGGCGAGGATTGGCAAAGCAAGGGCCGCATTCCTACAATTGAAGAACATATGGAATTCAAAACAACTTTCAACCAATATCAAAGTGAGAATCTTCAATACGAACGTCAAGGCAGTTCTACTGTATGGAGCTGAAACTTGGAGAACTACAACAACGACAATCAAGAAGGTGCAAGTATTTATAAATAGCTGTCTACGCAAGATACTCAACATCCATTGGCCAGATACCATCAGCAATAGCCTTCTGTGGGAGAGAACAAACCAACTTCCAGCTGAAGAGGAAATTAGGAGAAGACGATGGAAATGGATAGGACATACATTACGCAAATCGTCAAACTGTATCACGAGACAAGCCCTAACTTGGAATCCTGAAGGGAAGCGGAAAAGAGGAAGGCCAAAGAACACATTACGTCGGATAATAGAAGCAGATATGAAAAGGATGAATTACAACTGGAAGGAGCTGGAAAGGATTGCCCAGGACAGGGTTGGATGGAGAATGCTGGTGAGCGGCCTATGCTCCTTCACGAGGAGTAACAGGCGTAAGTAAGTAAGAATTCTCTTTTTCTTAAACTTTAATACTATGTAACAAATATTTGTTGTTCCCCTTTTCTATAAGCCCCAGCGTCATCAACACTAAAACAAGAATTAGAAACTGTATAAGCACATTGATAAATAAGTAGTCAAATAAAAGGGCTAATCGGAGGAAATTCCGTGAAAAAAATAGGAAAGATTGAGTGAGTAAACCAAACATATAACGGTGACTGGTTGCTGCAGCTATCCTCGGACAATTGTTTATTTCTAGCAAGCACCAACTATGAGCACGATATACGCATTCGTCTGATACGGCAACCGACTCAACGGTAGACCCAAATAGAATACATTGCAATCAGCCTCTGTTAGAGAAGCTCAATAGAAGACCGACTCATTCTGAAGCATATATTTGGACTTTAATCATACTCTAGTACATTTTACGGGACGCAGTAGTCTCAAAAGAAAGACTGATCACAATTCAGTTTAACGACGATACCCTCAAAGTATATTCCAGAGATAATTAGAAAAGCAGATAGTGAATCATGAGAGTAATGATCATCCAGATATGGCTTAGCATGACATACAAACAGCTGTGATATCTACCAGTGACTTAAACCAATGGGTTGCAAAACCACTGGATACTGATGGCATCTACTTAATTGATAGATGCTGGAAAACGTATCCCGATAGGTTTCAAACACGATAAGGAGCTATTAAGAACAAGGGATATTCGTAGGGCGGCCTGCTTGAGCATCTGGGCTACCTGTTACTGCCATCTAGATATTTCAACAAGTTATCTGTTTTTGTTTGTTTTAATATATCATTATGTTTATTAATCGCATAACCTATTCTGCTGCGTTTCTGAAAAGTGTACAACCTTTCGTTGTCAATAAGAGACAATGTGGTTGCTGGCAATATAAAACGAAAAGAATGCACATTATTCAGATGTTCATTTACTGAACTACTAACATCTAGCGGGCGATCACTCGATATTTATCGCCAGGACCGACCACGAAGAAACAAACGGAAACTTGTTGAAATACTTTACGCTGAGAATTCTATATTGTACCAAAAATATAATATTGAATAAAGCCGGTGATAATAATAATAATAATAATAATAATAATAATAATAATAATAATAGGGTACTAGCATTCGATCATAGGTATTTCTGAAGCATTATCTGTGCACTTTGGGACCACCGAGTAAGCAACGCTGAGGTTAGACGCAGAGTACCAGGTAGCGATAACAAATTGGTTGATAAGGTAGTGAATCTGTACCAGCCGAAACGGTTGGAACATGCATTACGTATTCAAGATCACTCACTGCATACCTTAACATGTCTACTCAGTCAGTCAGTAACAACGTAGAACTTCTTACGTACGTACATCAGTTCAAGTCGCCATACCACATTAGCACACAGACACAATTGTCGATTCAAGTCCTTAAGTGGTGGAGGTAGTAAAAGTATAAGCAGTAATCGGAAACATTAGGATTTGAAGATGTCATCTAAGGAGTACAATCCAGTGAAATAAATTTGGGAAGAGAAAAAAGAAAGGGACATCAAGAATTCAAAAGATTAGAATTTGGGCGAACACAAAGAGTGGGTGCACCTGCGCCATTAATAACGATTTTGAGCCATGTCACTCAGGGTCTCTAACCATCGGTTGCCATCATCTCGCGGACCCCAATCAGGTAGTCTACACCTATGAACATGGCTCAGTCCACTTGTCAGTGTCTTCACGGATTTGTGCCATGTTTTGGTGTGGCTGCCCATAGCTTTCTTCCAACCTACTCCCACACCACAAAACATCGCACGTCGGGGTAGTCGGTGGTCAGGCATACGTAACACGTGTCCCAGCCAACTCAAGTGATGAAGTTTCACTACTTCATCAATTGATTCGTCATCCTTACCTAGTACCCGTTTCCTAACAACTACATTACTTATCAGGTGGTGTCAGGATGTATGAGGAATGCCTCGAGAACATCTATGGTCGAATACTAGTAACCTACGAATATCCTCTACTCTTACCGGCCATGTTTCACTGCCATAAAGGACGGAACGAACTGCTGCGCAGTAAACACGTCCTTTGGTTGGTAGACGGATATCTCACCTATGCCATAAATGACGCAAGTTGGCAAAAGCTAGTTGAGCAATCTGTATCCGTGCTGAGGTTTCGTCACACACCAGACCACAAGGGCTGGTGAGACTCCCAAGATAAGTGAAGCGGTCGACACGCTCGACTACTTCACTTGCTATCATTAGTTCGGGTGTCGATGCAACCCAATCCTGAAGCAACATTTTGCATTTCGAGGGAGATAATCGCATCCCAACCATCCTTGCGTTGTTGCTTAGAGTGGTCAGAAGACTCTGTATTTTGTCGGCGTCTTCAACAAACAGAACTATGTCATCAGTATATTCTAAGTCAACAAGTGAATCTCCCGGTAGAAGTTCAACCCCTGGAAATTCGGATGAGGAGAGTGTTATCTCTAAAAGCATCACATATTTACTGGTGTAACAGTAGGTTGGAAGAAAGCTAGGGGTGGCCAAACCAAGATATAAGACCAGTCCATGAAGTCGCTGACTGTTAGATTGAGCTTTGTAGGTAAATGTAGAGTACCTGGTTGAGATCCGAGTGAATGTAGTAACCAATACTTAGATACTTTGGGTGATGTGGCTTCAAATAGTTTGTAGTGACTCAGATGCATTTATTCTGTCCTCTCTCAGGCCCTAGGACCTGAGACTTCCTTAGATGTTTTTCTTTGTTGGGATACTTAATCTTTTCTATTGCTACTAATACGACTACCACCAATATTATTTATACTGTGACTTTTTCTACTACAGTAAGATGTCTTGATCACTCTAACACGCTCAGCTAATGTTGTGTGGCGACTTCGACCGATGCACATATGTATCGGGTTCTATGTTGTATATGACTGACTTACCGATTTGACCCATGTTCGTAGACTCAGATTACCTGTTTGGGGTGCGCGAGACATCTGAAACTAGTTGTTTATGTTTCATGATATTATCAAATGCATTCATTCTTTATCTTACTCTAGATCTCGATTTTAAGTACTCTTGTATCGAGTCTATCCAAACCATATATCTAGTGTTTAGTTTTTATGATTAGCGCTGTTATTTTTATTTATTTATTCAAGCATACAAACATTAGTACAAGGACGCATCAAACAGATATGCGCCACATAAACCATTCGATGTGTGAGGGCTGGGATACTGCCCAAGTGTCCAAACCGAAGCAGGTGGCTTTCTTTAGGAAACACTCCCCGAGCCCTTGATCCGACGGTCTAATCCACAAGGCAGTGGGATGTCAGGAGATGAAGTTCCATGGTAGCCGGTAATCAACAATAGGTTCATACGTCATTTGTTTCCTTAGGATCCTAGAGCCCGTGTGCACCAGTGATTTGAAATCAGGATTTTCCAACTCCTCTAGGTGAACCCTCCGTACCCACCAACCCCGTTAAAGCGCCGGACATTCGCTATTACACTACTTGAACTCTTGTTATCCATCTTTCAAATTTGCCACGTTGGTAGTTGTTTAGTAACTTTGGTGGATATGTACTTCCCTAAAACAGGTGATGATCACGACCATTTTTTAGAAAGTATTGGCAAAAGTTGATGACCCAATAAAAAAAGACCAGTAAAAAAGTTCCATTTATCCAGTTTCCAAATCGTTATAATGAATTAAGAGCCCGGAGATAAACACCTTTATTGTTGAGATACCTTTCCTAATTGTTGACTTTAAGTTCTCATAAAAACACCTTATATTGTACATTGCTACCTGATAAAACTTTTTAATGAGTGATCTGAATATTTTATCTGTGATATGTTGACAAACAAACTATAGAGTCCAGTCAAGTAGTATATGGGATTGAAGCTGAGTTGACATGGTTCAAAAACAGCTGATGTAGCCAGGTTTTTAATACGTTTCCACCCAAATTATCGGAAACCCTATTACAAGAACCCAAAATTTAAGAGAAAGTAAAAAAATCATCAAGAGCTGGTTCTGAATGTCGATAAATTTACCTCAGATTTTTATTGAGTTTCTACAAAAAAAACATAGTGGTCGATAAAGCTGCTGTTACCTCATGACCTACACTTGGAAGAAAGAACATGTTCCCGTTTTTTAATTACTGATTACCAGGTTCAGAATTTTTCCCATGTAACCGAATACCAGTAACCAGGTGAAGTTACTAGTTATTATACAACAGTCATGAACTATTGTTCATTATACAAGTCTGTCCGCAAATGCCAAAATCAAAAATTGAAAGCCCCATTGTAATAACTTTTTAACGAAGTGTAAAATGAATTAAGAAACTGACCTCTCTTACCAATTCATTAGGATTTGAGTCACAAACAGAACCGAATGGATCGTCCGAATTTATTTCTTCAGTGAAATAATTACTCAAAATACTATGACTTTGGGCTTCAGAATCTTTAGAATTTGGAAAATATTTAAATTTAATGAGCAGAATGTAAACATACCCTTTCCGACCTTCTGACCATTAATAAGCTGAAGACAAACATCTTGATTAAATTCAGATAATAGCGAGTGATCTTGATGTTTTTTCAAAATGATTCATAGAAAAATGTTTGGCATACATTAATACTTACCACTAACCTCGACTTTCCCTTGCCTACAATTTGTACTCATTTTTAAATGCTTCAAATGGTTGTGGATGGAATAGAAGCTTTCGCTTAACAGGCTTCCGTGTCTAGTAGCAGGGGATCACCAAATCCTCCAGACAGGAACCTAGGTATGTTAACAATAAAAGAGGAAAAGAAATTGGTAAATCATAGTGTGATGCTGACCTCGGTCCTTAAGAATAGGTCAAGTTGCCTCTTGAAGGACTCCTGAGAAGTCGCTTGGACTAGCTTGGCCGGCAGCGAATTCCAGCTTTTGACAACTCTTAAGGAGTAGAAGTTGTGTCTACATTCCGTCTTGCTATGTTGTGTCTCCAGTTTCTGGGTGTTACCCCTTAGGTTATTATTCGAACTAAGCTTAAGTAGGTGTTTAAGAGGATGTCCAGAAGTGTTAAGAATACTATAAGCCATTAATAAATCACCTCTAAGACGCCTATACTCTAATGGGTAAAGGTCTAGTGAATGGAGGCGTTCTTCGTAAGGTTTAGATTTGAGTCCTCGAACTGATTTCGTGGCTCGCCGTTGGATACGCTCCAAAGTGACCTTGTCCTTTTGGAGTGAGGGAGGAAATACTATGTTTTCGTACTCTAAACGGGGACGGATGAAACTGTTGAAGATTGTATGGAAAGTTCGTCCGTCAAACTGACCAAAAATGCGCTTCAACGTTACCAGTGCAAGGTTTGCTCGGAAGGCATTTTTGTCACAGTTAGCGTAAGACTTTAAATCATGGGGCACCAGGACTCCACTTGGGATACTACTAGAGAGGAGTTTCCTAAGTTGTAACTGTAGTTTGCGACATGTCGCAGATGGACTACTTTACACTTTGAAGTGTTAAAGGTAAGTCCGTTATCGTCTGCCCAACTTTGAAGTCGAGTCAGATCCTCCTGAAGTGCCTGTATATCATCTTGGTTGCGTATCTCTCTCTCCAAAGTTTCACGTCGTCGGCAAAAAGTAATAAGTCTGACGTTACCTGTTGAGGAAGATCATTTATGTAGATCAAGAAGAGAAGAGGCCCTAGTACTGAGCCCTGGAGGACCCCACTAGGACATTTCATAGCCTGAGATAAAGTGAAATTAACCCTAACCTTAAAGTGTCGATTTTTTAGGTATGAAGCAAGCCAATCGATCAAGGTGGTTTGATACCTAGTCGTTTGAGCTTATTGATAAGACACAAGTGGTTAACCTTATCAAAAGCTTTTGAGAAATCAAGGTAATTGATATTAACCTTTCCCTTGCGATCGAGGATGCTTGTCCATCTGTCCACCGCAGTCAGCAGGTTGGTTATACAAGAGTAACCCTTCCTGAAACCATGCTCTTGGGGTGAGAAGAAATTTAAGGACAGTAGATAGCCGTTTAAACCGTCGCATATCAGAGAATCCATGAGTTTTGAAGGTAATGACAGAAGAGCCACCGGCCGATAACTTGAAGGTTCATTGCGTCGACCACCTTTGAAAATTGGTGTGATGTGAGCCAACTTCCAATTTTCCGGTAATTTGCCTCGGCTTAGCGAGGTGAAAACATTACACTAAGCGGCGTTGCCAGGATTGAGGTTGCCTCCCTCAGTATGGCAGGATGAACCATATCCGGGCCAGGAGAAGTATCGAGTCTTAAGTGCTGCAATTTCCGGAACACCAAGTCAGCACTTAGGTCCACTTCGGAAAGTCCTGTGGAATTGCAGATGAAACTGTTGTCAGTAAAGTTGATGTCAGCCGGTTGAAATGTTTGAGAGGAATGTGCCGCCACAAGGTTAGCGGCGTCGCCATCGTTGTTAGTCCGGCCGTTAAGACCTAGCAGTTTTGGCTTGACGAAGAGAGGCTGCATAACGGAATAGGCTTCTAGGGTTAGAGGCGAATTTGTCCATAAGCTTTGTCTGGTACTGAAGCCTGTCTTCTCTTATAGCCTTCGTGCATGTGTCCCTTATATGTTTATATTGCCTATACGCCCCGTAGTTATCAGTTCGTTTGTATTCCGCCCAACAGTGCCGTTTGCGGCTTAGCAGGCGAAGGGTACGGTTCTTGATTACTGTAGGTGGCTTGCAGCTTTTGGCAACCGTTTGAGGAACTGAATGGTTTGTAGCACATAAGAGCGTGTGCAGTAAGAAGTCCCAATGACCGTCCACATCGAGTTGAGGGTGAACATCCCAAACCACCTGTTATACATAGTCAATGTAGAGCTGGCACATTCAGCCGTTTAAAATTCCAACGCAAATTATTGTTGGGATACCTTAGCTTAGTTTTGATGACAAAACTGAAGGCTATGACGGCATGATCGCTCTTTCCCAGAGGAGCCAGGATTGAGAGGTTGTCAACTAGGAATTTTTCGTTAGTGAATACACAGTCTAAGCGCGATGGTGTCTGACTGTTTCTCCAACGAGTTGCCGACCTCACATTTTCATATAAGCCCAAGTCATCGATGAGGTTGAAGAGCCGAGCTTCAATTGAGCTGTCGCCTCCAGTGTACGTGTGTGTCCGCGAAGTTGACTCTAGGGAGATTAAAGTCCCCTAGAATCAGGATGTGTGTGAAACCGAGACGAGTAGAGCGGGATAGTCCTTTCATCATACGACTATCGTACTCGATGTCGACAGTTGGCTTCCTGTAAATGACTCCGACTAGACACCTCGAAGTACTTGACAATCTAACACAGCACCATATGAATTCCTCAAGATTGTTAAACTCGAGGTTGTGAACTTGGTGCACCTCCAAGCAAGAGCTTATGTATATGGCTACTCCACCCCCAATTCCTGTTTTCCTGTCGTTGCGGAACAAAGTCATCCCAAGTAATGCTAACTCATGGTCCGAGAACTGAGAAGATATTCAGGTTTCAGATATTCCTATCAGACGGGCCTTATTAGCGTTACTAAGTTCACGCAGTTCATCCAGTTTGTTTGGTAGACTCGCGGCGTTCATATATAAGCAGTTTATGCTTTCAATTTGGAACGCGTGAGCTTCGTCCTGTTTTTCTGTATGAACCTTATGTGAATGGACAGGTAGCCCACCCATATGAGGTTTGCCGAGGTGGTAGGCCCTGTCCTTTACACGTTTTTTTTATCGTTTAGACAGTCCACAAGTGGAATGGTCAGCTCCAACTTACCTTTGATCTTGGTCCTAACTTCGTATGGCCTATCCGGGTGCATGTGGATTCCAGGTGGCAATCGACGTCTATTAGCACGAAATGCTTCCAGAACTGCAGCCGCCATGTGGGAAGATGGGAAGGTTATCTTCATTAGACGGGGTCTAAGATCACTGTCCTTCTTGGCTAGTCTCGTCACATGCTGAGTCAGTATGTGTTTGAGCCTCAAGGACTGTTTGATGAATTTCCATTCCCTGATGTCAGAATTTGATTGAGTAGGGTCTGCATTTTCCGGTATACCTTGCACAGTTGTTTCTTTCGCGGAAAAACTCGCAAGATTCTTTGCGCTCAGAGTACGGTATGTCGGGCAATATTCTTACTTTACCATCGGATTTCAGCAAGTGACTTGCTAGCAAGACGTCCTCTACTTCGGTAGCATTCTTGAGTGTTACTTGGAGAAGCCTCGGGTGATTTAGATGCTTAGAATCCTTTCCTCGAGTGAGCCGGGTGACCATCAAAGGCTCTATTCTAAGAAGTTCGAGCTTCTTGTTCAATTCACTCCAGAGCATCCTGTCGTTTTTGTCCTGCAGACTGAGAGGAAGGTCAGGATTGTCAACGAGGTTCATGATAATGAGAGAATCGTCACGAACTGTTGTTAATTTACCAGGTTTCACGATGGGTTCAGGTTTAATAACTTGTTGTTTGGAGGTCAGTGTGCGTTTATGAATCTTGGGCTCTTTATCGACCGGACGAACAGTCTTGGAGGTAGACTGTGCGACCAAATCACCAGTTATTTTCCGTACAGCAATACTTGGGTTGCTCGGCTTAGGCGGTGATGCCTGGTTCTTTTGGACTCTCTTAACGTGGGTCGAATCACCTACAGGGTTTTTGGGAACCACGGTTGTGTTAAGGGACCCTGAGCTGGGAGACCCGAGTTTGCCTAGGGAGTCTAGTACCGTCGACGTAATGATGGTGCTGAGCCTCGACACGTCATCATCAGTGTTGATGGATGCTCCATCGATGGTATACCTGTCGACATCCCTATTTTTGTATCCGTCGCATGCTCTTGTTTGCCTACCGGTTTATTTACTATCGTTATTCAAGTTAACTGACAACTTGTTCCGAAGACCTGTCAGTAGGACAATGATGTTACTCAGCAAGACTACTGCGTCCGTGCTGCACGTGACACATACCCACTTTTGGTCTGACTTGCTGAGTCTGTTGTAAGCAGTTGCTGTCAAATATGTGCATGCTTCGTGGAACCAACCTTTGCAGTTGTCGCACTGCATGCCAGTTGTAACAGCAAAACGGCAACCCGGACGTTTGCATGAGTTTTTCATGACGGTGTTGAAGCAAACTATGTTATAGATGCTTGCAAAAGCCTAAGACCTTTAAAAAACACTAAAAAGCACACTGAAAACGGACAAAAATGGATAAAAACGAGTAATATAAACTGAAACTAGTCTATACGTGAAAAACAAAAAAAAACGAACAGTAAGCTGAGGCAGAACCACAGGTAACTATTAAATATGGTGAAACTCAAAAAAGTAATCTACCGAACGTATAGCTCAGGATAGATTCTTTAGAACTGAAATGGTACATTTGTTGCGTAAGAACACAGCAAAAGTTTGATAAACGCAAATCACGTTAGGACTAGACTTACCGTTCGAAAAGCGCGCGTTACTTACGGAAAATGTTTTAAATATTTAGCAACTTCCAGTGAGGCTAATCTAACCACCAGGCTACTGAAAGTTATAGTGTGCGAATGACGTGACACGACGTGTTGAATTCAGCAAAAGGCTTGGAATTACTTGTCACAACAAGAACGACTGTCAAGGTCAGACAGGTAAAACGAATGGTTCAAATAAGCCAGGCAAAAGGTGTCCAATAATCAGTCTTCAGTTATACTGTGGAAGTCCAATCTGAATTTGGATATATCAACAGGAGGTGCTGATATTACGTGTTCCGGTAGAGAATTCAGGTAATTCACTACTCGGTGAAAGAAACGAAACTCCAGACGTAAACGATTTGATCTCGGTTTTTGAACTCACTTCGAATGGCTCTCAAATGATCAGTCCTAGACGGAAGTAAAAGATAAGACATGTTCATATCAAGGTCGTCGTTCAGTATACGATAAGCCAATATTATATCATCCCGTATTCTACGGTAAGATAACGGAAATAAGTTAGGGTGTTTCAGTCTGTCATTATAAGATAGGCCAGGTAGACCTTTTACCATCTTATTACCTCATCGTTGGACTCTTTCTAGCATATCTGCTTCATACTCGAAACAAGGACTCGTTGCTTCAATCCGATTAATGTAAATCGGGTATAATAATCTAAACATTTCATCATCTAAATACTGGAAAGACCGAATAGACCATAATACCCTATGTAGTGTCAGTCATTATTTTAAGCCCATATACCTTGTTCTAGTTTTTAGACAAACCAACCTATTCATTCTACTTGAGTCATATTTTGACCTTGTCAATTATTCGCTTATCAGTTTTGACTGTTTTTATATGAGCGTATATGTGTGTGCCCTTCTTATCCCATTGATCACATGTCTGTAGCTTTATTTTGTCTGACTATAAATATTGAGTAACGCTTGACTAAAATGGAGTTGGCTTCCCAGCCATCTTCCCTGCGTGTCATTTTGCTTCGCTCTGTTTCATTCGCTTCATATACAAAATATATGTATTCACAAATCAATTCTCGTTATTTGACTTATTTAATTCCGTTATTGACTAACGCGATTTAAGTCGACGATTATATACGAGAATAGGCGATAACAATCATTTTTACGATCATGGAGTTTGATCAACGGGCCACTTAACCCGTAGCCTTTCACAGCAACGGCCTTACAGTGACTAGTGGTTATATAGGTCACTGCTTAATATGACTCCTTATTCTTTTTAGTGTGGAGATAGGCCCGGCAAGCCTATTTTGTAAATAATTTTAATATTATTTGTATTTCTTTTGCCAATCTTTCATTGTATGTATGTTTAACATTAAATGACTGTAACCGTTGTTTTAGTGAATGACCTTGAACACACTTTCTGTTGTGTAACTACATAGCATGACACACTTGTGGTTGTTCTTAAATACACTGCTACACACACACTCCTTGTTCTACTCTCACTCGTTATTGAGCTAATTGCATCCTAAATTGAACATTATTCACGTTTATAGACTGTGAGCTGAGACACATCGCACATAACAGTGGATTTCATTATTGGAGAGTTCAATAACCTGTACGGAATTATCGGACATTATAATTGTGGATTTACAATACCAGACCCCATCAGAACACGCAACACTTGGTGAATTTAAGTAAAGTCCATATTCTTATGTTGTATAAATAACTATTAACATTATTATTTACTCTTTATAATTTGATTAACACCTTTGAGCGTTCATATTTGTCTGGTCCACCACACTAGTTCCTTACTTTGGGTAGCACTAATCCACATATTGTATAGTGATACGATTCATCATAGTTATTTAATTGCATCACCACACTCTTATTAGGATTAACTTCTAGTGACCACCTATACAACCATGCCATCAATGAACTAAGATCATTCTGTTATACTATTCTACCCGACATACTGTGTATGGGTCTCCAAATCTTTATGTCATCAGCGAAGAGTAGAACGGAGGATTTCGCTATAGTTGGTAATTCATTTACATAAAGTAAAAAGAGAAGCGGACCGAGGGAACTGCACTTTTTACCGTTACCCTTTGTCTCCTGTCATGGAGAAAGTTACTTATCCAATCTACGACTGTATAATGGATTCCAAAACGTTCCAGTTTGAATTTAAGACCAGAGTGGGAGACTTTATCGAGGGCCTTACTTATGTCTATGAAGATCACATCCACAGGAATATTCTGATCTTTTGCAGCAGCCCAATCTTCTCTTGCAGTGAGAAGATTTGTCAAGCATGATAGACCTCTCCGAAAACCATGTCGTTCCCTGGAGAAAAGATTATGCCATTCAACATAGTTTATAACAGATATCCGAATGATTTTTTCCATCAGTTTTACAACTGCACTAGTTAAGCTAACGGGCCTATAGTTACTAACTAAATCCCTACTCCCAGCCTTATACACCGGACTTATTATAGCGTTTTTCCAGTCTCTGGACAGTCTGGACTGCCTTCAAGACATGTCAAACAGTTTCGCTAATGGTTCAGCAATTACATCTGATATGGCTTTCATAATCCTAGGATGAATATCATCAGAACCACTGGACTTATCAGGTTAGAGATGATGAAGTAGCCTTAAAACAGTACCTTGCTCAATGACTACAGGGTCTACCAGCGAGCCGCCGCGATCACAATTAATCGTTGGTCGTTCCTCATTACCGATAGAAAACACTTTACTGAAATATTCCGGTAAAGCTGAAGCTTTATCGGTATCGTTTCTTGCCAAGATTAACGGATATTCTTGTATCAAAATTGATGGAATTCCATTGCTTCTCTGAGTTTGCCTTTTTATATACGTGAATAACAGTTTCGAACTATATCTAGAATCCCTAACCAATTGTTTTTCATATGATCGTCTAGTCTTACTTATTAACGCTTTACAGGCATTCCTAATCTTTCCGTGACCATCTCAGTCCAACTAATATCAGGTGCATTAAAGTCTCCTATTATCAAGCACCTGTTATTTGCAGTCCATAGTTGAATGTGCTTTAAAATAAAGTCATCAGCTAAGTAGATTGGGCTGTGATAGATGACACTGAGCATAAATGTATCAAATCCAATAGCCAATTTACAGCTAATGACTTTGCAAGCGCCGCTATCATGGGATTCGCTAGCAGAGGAGCGGATATTTATATTATTGGCTATATATAAAAGGAGGCCACCTTTTCTACATCTATGCCTATCACTCCATAGGTAATGGTATCCCGATATTTCTGGAGTAATGTCTAAGTCGCTGACTAACCAAGTTTCTGTCACTGCTACAATGAGTGGCATTAATTTGTCCACCAGTTCTTCTGGTTCATAGAACTTATTTCTTAGACCACGAGGGTTAGCATATAAAACTCCTAGGTAGAACGGCCTATCCACACAGGCCTTGGGAGCATCCGCTTCCAAGACCTGACTTTCCGAAAACCCACTAACCGGAGATTTTCCTCACCGCTTTATCGACGGGTTTCTAGTTCAACTAGTGCTTTCTTCTTTCTTACTCTATCTTCAAGAGACATATCAGGTCTAACTTGGATGTCGAAATTGTCGTGACTACGAGCGCCGCTTAACAGGAGATCATGTTGCTTCTCCGATCCTAGGATTACCTTAAGGAGTCTGCATGGTCAGGGTTCAACGTCCTTCTCCGTCTTCTTATCTATCCTAACCAGTTTTTCGACCTGAACTCCTTTAGAGTTATCTGGTAAGATACCACGAATATATTCTCCCAGCTTCTCTAAATCATGCGCGTGTCTAGTTTTGGGATCAGGGTCGTTTGACTCCAGCAATTTGCTCACAATAATATTCGATGAGATTAAATTCTTCTTCTCAGTCACGCCAGGGTGTGTTTCTCTCTTACTATCTGACTTTGGCAGTGCATTTTGTGACTCATAATAGGAGTCCACTAATGGTTTGCTAACTACCTGCGTACTGCCTACAGCCTTTTTCTTTTCGTTTCGTCTTCTCCGTACTTTAGTCCATTTTTTATCCCTCAGGACACTAGGACTATTTGGAACGGTGACGATTTTATCCGCATCTTCAATTCTCACTAGAGGTGCATGACTACCAATGTCGATTTCAGGTGGTACTTCCCTTCTCGTTAATGTTAACGGAGATTTAGCTTTCCCATCAACCACAGTCGTTAGTTTGAGGCGTCTTGCAACAGCACGTACACTGACACACTCTGCAATGTCAGTGCTCGTGTTTTCAGCGCAACCGCTATCGTTCTTCTTACAGGCCAAGGCCAATGGGTTCATAGCCTCCTGTATTAGTAACGTTTTGTTTATACAGCAAAATATGCAAAGCCAATGCAAGTTAGGCTTCGAACATCTTTTGTATGCAGTGGGACTTAAATGGGTACACACCTTATGGAACCACTTTTTGCATCCATCACACTGCATTCCTTCCTCCACAGGGAACAAAGTTGGGTTGACCACATTTGTGAGTACTACCAACCATTGTAGTCAGATTAAGATTTATAGCACAATATGATCACAATATGAACACAAGTGTCAGTCAATAAGTAAAAGGGTACCGCAAAACAAACTTTAGCGAGATTTCAAATGTAGACCTGTAGAATCCAAACTACGGTTTGGATAGAAGAATAGCCGACCGAGGACTTTAGACACGCGCCCTTTCCCGTCGAAATCAAAACAAGTAATCGGGTAAATAGCGGTTCTATAATTCATAATAAATTTAATGTAAATCATTACCTAAACAAATATTATCACACGGCTATTCAACCAATGATTGTTCAATCAATTAAATCTAAATTACAATAAATAAAGAAGTTGATAGAAGATGAGGAAAAATTACCAATCACAACAAATGAACGTTATTCTATCCTGGCTGGATAGATCACACACAACAGGAGGAACCAATCAATATGGCTACCGCCAAGAACAAGTGTCAAGTAAAACAACGCAGATGCAGTTCAGGAAGAAACACAAACTTAGTGAATGCGTACTAAAAACAAAAACTATAACAAAAATACAAATATTAACAATTCAAATGTAATCAAAATACAACAATGTACAACTAATGTGATCAATAGGAATAAAGTACAAGTATATACATGGAGGGATTTTCACCAACACATAAAACCTTCAAAATGGATCTTACAAGACCCATAATGCTTTTAATGCAACAATTACGCAAAAGCAAGAGTAATCGCAA